ACTCCTTCCGCAAACTCTCGCAACATTACTACAGTGTATGCTGTGTTTCCGCACGCTCGTGTCGACATGTCACCTATACTGTACATGTACCGGGTCGCGGAGGAGCTTGACGACCTCCGCTGACTCCAGGTTTCCGAAATACTGCCGTCGTCTTCGTTGATGTCGCTGGTGACATTCTCCCCTTGCAGGACGTGCACATAGTTGTCGTTCCGGGGGTAAAGACTATGTTGTCTTTCGAAATAGTTCTTCATCACACTCGCGCGAATGATGTTTCTCATCATGAACTCGTTCCGACGGTGTGACACGGCGATGGTCTTTGGCGGGGCACTGGCTTCGCGAACACGATATCTTCTTGTGCAATATAACATTGATCGGCTGCAGATGAGTACAGTCACTTCGTGGTTGATCCTATAGGAGGGCAGCTGCCAAGAAAGAGGCAGGACTCGACGAAGCGCTCGCAACAAACAATAGCACTCGAAATATCTCGTAAGATTTAGGGCCTATCGCTTTGAGCCACAGCGCTCACAGCCTTGCCTACTTCATCAAAGTGAGCTCTAGATGTTCGTTGACCTCTTCACACTACACAGAAGAGCGAAACAAGGATTATGTCTTAGCATTTCCACTCCAACAGCAGACCATTACCAGTGCGAGAGAGAAAACTACAAAGGGTTTTGCTTTCTGTCGCATCGTCTCTTTTGCATGCAACTAACGAGAAAACCGTGTACTTACCCTCGCATTCACACGCGAACTATCGAACACGTCCTGTGCGCATGCTGATCAGGCAGTGCCATGTATGTGTTGTACAGTGTACTCTCATCTCAGTTGACATGCCCCCTTTCGAACCCAGACAATCTTTTCGGGATTGGTCTATTGTATTTCTCCTGCTAGGCTGTTCATTACGAATCATTAGCCCTCCACTGTCTGCTATCTCAACCCTACAGCCTCCCATTATAATGGAACTCCCTTCAATTAATTATTTAGACTACGTCTTTGGGAAATATTAACTGGTTTTGAGGGAAAGAGACAAACGGGAAAAGTCTGAAGAAAAAATTGACTGTCACCACCAGGACTCGAACCAGGGACCCTCGCTTGTAGCCAGCGATGCTCTAACCACTGAGCTATGGTGTAGTCGTCATCCAAGCAGAGACCGTTCAACGTTTTCTTCGGAAATCCTCAAATATATTATAATAAAAATAAATTTGAATTCGGTATCTCAACAGTACATTGTACTTGGGAAGATCCGAATGACATAGATACATAAGTCATAAGGCCAAACTAAAGAAGGTGTGTGGTTCGACTAACATGGACATTTTTTTTACGGGCGGGCGGGCGGATTTTTTTTTAATATATTTTTTAGTACATGTAAATACACTGTATACATGTATACGCGTATCGAGTAGACTCTACTACCAGCACAAGTAGTCCATCGGCCAAATCTCAGAAAGGGCCTCTTTCGACGAAGGTGATGCACTGAAGCTCCAACTAAACGCCCTTTGGCACACTAGCTCATGAGACCCCATAGAATACGAATCCGATTGTTGGACGTTGCCAATCCAGTCCAGGATAGTCGAACTGGGTCCCTTCTTCCGATTTTTGTAATTTCGTCCACCATTACATCTTTCTCATCGACTTTTTTTCGCTTGGCGAATGTTCTTGAGCCGCTGAGCAGAATCTACGCACGCTCGAACACTTGAAATGCCTGCATGTTGACGGTTCGCAAGATTCTAGCGAGCTTGGTGGAAATCTATTATTTATTTTGACAATTTTGGGGGAATCTGAATTAGAACGGTAGAAGCTCATTCGGAGAAGACGGCGTGTCGCCGCTGTCGGATTGTCGCTACTGTGTTTCAGACGTATTTGCTTGAACGTGCTATTGAGGATGGACAGAAGATGAAGTGACGGCTTTCTTGAACACGGACGTTGTGTCTACATTGTAGCTGAAACATCTTATATCTCATCTGGCGTCTAGAACGCAATTATTATGAGTTGTGAGTGCCAGCTGAGCTGAACACAAGCTGGACACCATTCGTCAGCTGGGAATTTGCATCGAAGCTCTTGATAGCCACGATAAGCATAATTATACAGAGGTAACCTTGTTTGACTCAATACGCATGCAGGTGTCCGTGATACCACTTGTGGCACTACAATGTCAATGGTGCAAAATTGATGCAACAGCGAATATGTACTTCGTACAATCACGAACAATTGTAAGGCAAGTGTTCATGCCTGTCCTAGAAGAATTTCAGCCTGGAAGTCTTGTTGTCATGGTCATAAATAATACAGGACTTGAGTTGGCTCTGGACATAAACACACTTGTGGTGAATACGGTCATTATTGCGAGAAAAATATTTGCCACTCTATGTTAACACCTGATGCCGCACTACACGCAATATTTCATGTACATGTATGTGAGACTCAATTGCATCCACAAGGCCGTAGATGCATGTAAGCACACAATGCTGTACAGTATAAGTAGTAGTCGACATGTGGTGCCTTCCTGCTGCACATGCACATGCGGCAAGTTGGCAACGACAAATGACCTATCTGCACCGCACAGCGTGAGCTTAGAAAGGAATATTGCACACATAGTGCTATTTGTGTTCCGATATCGTTAAGCCGGTATACATGTACTAGTATCCTTATACATGTACCTGGTCACTCGATAGGCGATGCCGACTGTACTAATCTTATCCATATTACCCGACAGGCTATAGCACACTGCGTCAGATCACTATGCAACAAAACAAGAGCTTTGGAGCGAATATACACTGAAGCAAAGTAGGTTTCAACGGTACAGCACTAGTCACGACGAGGGGAGTTACGAGGATGGTTGGGCCGTGACACATAGATGATGATTGTTAATGATTCATGCACGGTGGAAAATTACCACCAATGGCGATGATATTGCTTTCACAACAATGACATCAGTAGGAGCAGTGACACAACCTTACTGCTCCAAGTAGGATTTACAAGCGAGTGAAGGGAGAGCAGACTGGTCTAATAGCAGACCGGGTCTAAGCAAGGAAGTAATCGGCATCAGAGGTGAGCTTGCACACCAGAAAACAGATGATGATCACCAAACACAGAGAATTTGGCTATGTGTATGTTTGTGCCACTGTGTGTGCATGTGTGTATGCGTGCACATCTGTGTGTGAGAGAGAGGCAGACAGACAGATAGCATATGGTGGGAGGGATCAAGGTCTGACCTCAGAGTTAAATGCTGACGGTGTGGAATAGCAACAGTGCGAAATCGGGCAGGGTGGTTAATGGCCCACACTGGAGCCGAGTAGGAGCGCCAGTGGTTGAGGGCTAGCACAGGAGTAGCAGCAGCTCCAGCCTAGGAAGATCAGCTTCTGGATGAAAATCTCCCGGACTCAGTAGGTACCAAGCTTCACTAGCAGATTGCCGGCAGGGGTGCACGGCGAGCACCCGTACGTCCCTCAAGCCAACAGAGCCGCAGTACTTGGACACGATCCAGGTGCTTACCCGCCAACAATGCTGAGAAGGCACTGGAGCCATACAGGATCTTATGATCGAGCATGACCACAGACTTGAAATACAGGGTCCGGCGTTGAATACTGAGACAGCGACGTCTCCTCCACAGAACACCACTCAGCCCCACCATTGCATTATTTTCGCTTTTTCATGATTTTTACAATTGTGTTAGAGCACACAGCACTCGATGCAACATTTACCAGTGACTAAATAACTCCGCGTCTCCGACCATAACTGCAGCGTTCCCGTGAGCCTGTTGGATTTCCGTCAGCCTGTTGAGATTATCTTCATCTCGTCACATGTGAGCCTGTGTGTTTCATCCGTATCGTGGCACAATTACACAGACACGATTTCCAACTCAGGCCGGTTCCGTTGCTCGAAGGGTTGGCGGTAAGAATTGCTACGCCGTCTGTGGCTGCATGGGAACTTGGCGAGTCGTCGTCTTTCTCCATAAATCCTGATCGTCACGCGAACAACAGCCACTATTGCCTAAAAACTACGACACAACAGTATCAAGCTCGCCCCAGCAGAAGGACACGAATGACGAGCGCTAAGACGGAGAAAGAGAGACAGGGTTAGCGAGAGCTGACTAGTGCAGGTACGCTGTCATCTCCTGAGGTAGTGGGCGAAGCAGCGAAGTGAAACGAAGGAAGATAGAACTAACTTATTAGAAGGCATACGGAGGCACCAAAACCTATTGCCTGTCACATACTAAGTGCTGGTTGACAGCTGTCAGCTGACAGCCTCAAAAATTTGAAAATCTGCTCAAAAAACTCTCGATCAGAACTCTGCGCACTCTCAAATGGAGCGCACAGTAAAAAACTCGGCGACGAAGAACGCTTCGTATCGACGCCCTGGACTGAATTCGGCACGTCCAACAAACGGAATAGTGTTCTCTGATATATTCTCTACGTGCTGGGTATGGTCGCGTTTAGTTGGAAGCTCAGTGCATCACCACTTTCGATTTTGAGACTTGGCCGATGGACTAAAGGCAGCAGTCGTAGACCTACCACTCACTGCACTGCACTGCAGTACAACTACAAGTCAAGTCCAAAAGGAGCCGCCTGCGTCCGCAGACTCACGCCGCACAGCACGTAGACGTGGACGTGTTCAGTCCACGTACGTACGTCAGTCACACGACAGCCCGCCGAAAAAAAGTTACGGTCGGGCTACGGTCGGTCGGGTGAGTCGAACCACACATCTTTTTTAGTTTGGCCTAAACATAAAACTTTAAAAGTGGAGTAGGTGCTACAGCTGATCATTTTCTTCTTGCCGAGTCTGACTCTAGCTTAGACTCTTACTCTTGGTGGCATCATTGGCATGGCAGCAGACCAGAGCTACACACCTGACTACACTACAGAGTACAGACTCAGTAGTGACTACTGTACTACAGTACGTACAGTACAGACAGGCTTTGCTAGCTGCGCTAGCGCTCTCATGCATTTTGGACTCAGTCTTGTACTCGTAGTGCCTACTGTTGTAGTATAAAAGTACCATGCAAGGCCATAGCCAAAGAAGAAAAAAGTTCACTTTTTAGCACAAGAGAAAATTTTGGTTGTGTTGTTTTGTCGTCGCGGTCTTGTATTTTGTGAACGTCCTGTGAACTGATTCGTACGTAGCGTGTCCGGTCCCGTTAGTGGTGTTACCTGTGTGTAAAAAATCGAAGGCAACAACAGCAAGTGGAAAATGCCGCGAGCCTCGCGATCTTCAGCTGTGAAGCGTAAGTCGATATTTAGCTGCTAGTGAATAGGTTTGGAAATGATGATAATCTCTCAAGATATTATCTTGAGAGTTGTACAATCGTTGTGTAGCAAATATTGTAATTCCCTAGGGTTTGTACGACTCGGCTGTGTTCGTATTGCATGTGCGCGTGCATAGAAAAACGAACATTTCTGTCGTGGCAGAGCAAAGGTATCCACCGGGACGTGTGCTGTTTTGCTACACATTATTATTCTTGGCTTGGACGTGTGCAAACATTTGGTGGGAACGAACGTGTATGTGTGTAGGGAAAGCGCCGCAGCCAGAGCCAGACGAAGCGTCTACTCCGGAGGAGGAAATTGCCTCCAAGCCCTCAGCCGCTGTTGAACCGCCTGCGAAGCGGCGAAAGACGCCAGCCAAATCGACGCCGCAAAAGGTAAGTCCCAAGATGTTCACGTTTGCAGAATTCGTAATCTCTATTGGCACTGGATCATTTCCTTATAAATCGTGGTGCTGATTGAATCCATATCTCCGTATTGGGACTTCTTCTTATCGATTCTGGTCCAATGAACACCACTGGGAGATACCTGCAATTGATTGATTTTTTTGCAAAGTGATTGATTGATTTAGCCTTTTTTTTTAACGTTTATGTGGAATGAAAAAAAATGAATCTTGGCCCCACTCACTGCTAATTGTCGGTATCAGCAAAGGCGAGTGTGTGCCAACCAATGATCTATGCCAGACAACCAGAACCTCACCACGTGCGTCCTAACTCTTTTGCAAGTCACGGCGTGCTCGATGAAAATCCGACTGTATATTGTAAGAGCTGAGCGTTTGACGGGTTAAATGATTTTTTAACTTTATAGAAAAGAAAAAGACCAAGGAACTACAAGTTATGCTATAATGTCCACTAACACCCCCAGTTACTAAACAACCAGCTCATGCGATAACATTGCACGACACTGACCGACGGTACTGACGTTCTACAACTAACTGGCTAACGGCTCTAGCAAATCTTGGGTGCGCACTCCAACAGCCTTCCAACTTGGAAGGTTCTAAGTTATTGAAATATTCCATGAGGAGGGGAAGGTGAGCGAAACCAAGACAAGCACGGGCTTTAACGTTTTCCAAAATGTCCCAACACTAGTAAGCAAGCATAAAGTTCAACGACCCTGCCCTGACACAGCCGTCTGTTATTCTTTAGTGCAGTAAAACCTGTAACTAAAGACCACCGTGACAAGCGACCAACCTGGTACTACAGACCACTTCGCCAGGCACGGATGGTCTCACATTCATGGTTGTGCGGTGCAAACCTCTAACTAAGGGCCACCTGCCACTAAAGACCGCTTTCTCTGGCCCCGAGGGGTGGTCTTTAGTCACAGGTTTTACTGTATAGAGGAGAGAAGGAGTAGCATACTAGTTACGTATGAGTAACGTTGCTTCAGTTGGCGATGGCTTTTTTTTCTTGTTAAAATGTTGAACTTTGTGCCTCATTCGAGGGTTCAATTCTTGCAGTATTGTAAATGTAAACCCTGAGATCCGCGTCGTTGTGTCTTGTCACTGGCAATGACAAGTTGAGCCTCAACCTCTAGCGTTCCCACTGGCTGGTAAAATGTGTTGTATTGTGTCTTCTTTTTTTTAATCGTCCTGTGTACATGCAGAAACCAGACAGTTCGTCAGGTCGCGCCAGTGCCACTAAGCCGAAAGGTCCGCAATCACTGCCGCTGGCATCGCCGCAAGAGTCCTCTCCACCGTCCTCAAAGGCGGCACAGCAGAAGCCCGGATCTAAAGCGTCCACACCGTCCAAGCCACCAACGCCTCTGAAGGCGCCAGCCGCTTCCAAGTCACCTGCTCCTTCTAAATCAGCAGCTCCATCGAAAAGACCAGGTTCGGCTAAGACGCCGTCAAAGGCAGCGGCTAAATCACCGCCTAGTGCCAAGGAAACGTCCGGAAAGACACCAGCGAAAACACCTAAGAAACAACCGGCGTCTAAGATGAGGAGTAGAGACATCCGAAAACCCACGTTTTCATCTTCATCATCGTCGTCCTCACCTCAACCATCTTCCCCTTCGGAAGTAAGTTCTTCATTCTCGGACGAGTCGGAATCGAGCGCTTCCAAATCCACGCCGTCGGCCAAGTCGCGCAAGCCAGCAGCCAAGCGAACGAAAGCTCCAGCAGCTGCGGCAGCCGCCAAATCGCCTCCTCCATCGTCCCAGTCGTCGGCGGCGGCGGGAGGGCGCAAGGCACCACCTGCAGCCAAGGCAAAGTCTCCAGCGGCGGCTGCATCGGCCAAGTCCCCCAGTCCAGCCAAACCGCATGCTACTACCTCCACCACCGCCGCTGCCGCCGCCGCCGGCAACAGCAGCAATGGAGGAAACGGTGTGTCTGCACATTCGCAGCTGACGTCGACAAACACAAAGGTAGGGCAATAACGGCACAGCATGGCTTTCAATCTACGGCCGCGTCCAAAGAAATCCGACCCGTTAGTCACGAGTAGCGCCTCATTTCCATTTCAATTATATCATGCATGTTCCCGAAACTGATCCGAGGGTCGCAGGGCCCGCATGAGCCTTGGTGCTGCTTTCGGCACGTAGGTTGGATTTCTTTGGTCACGACTGTAGTATTAGAGGAAAGTTGCAGGGGCGTCGGACATGGTACGGTCACTACGGTATTGACCGTACCACCTTTAGCCCCAGGTACCCCGTGAATCAATACAATGCACTGATCTGGACTCTAAATTTCCAAATTGTTCGGCTCAGCCACCACTCCCCCACGAATAAACTGTACTTCAGATGGCTGACCGTACCATAGTAAAATACCTTCCCACGCCCCTGAGTTAATTTTAAAATAGACCGTGTTGCAATACTGTAAGCCGTTGGCTCACTGTTTTGATGCATTGTGGTCCCTGACTTCTTGATGATTTTGCCCTTGTACATGAAACTCCGAGTTACAGCCACGGAGCCTTTATGTCCGCTGTTTGACTGTGTGTGTGTGTGTGTGTGTGTGTGTGTGTGTGTGTGTGTGTGTGTGTGTGTGTGTGTGTGTGTGTATGTGTGCGTGTGTGTGTGTGTGGTGTGTGTATGTGTGTTTGCATGTCTGTATGTGTATGTTTTTTTCGTGCCACTGGATTTTCGTTTATTGAAGCTCTGCATGTCGGGCATCGGGCTTTTTGATCTACAGTCAAGGTTCCTGTGTGTACAATGTGTATATAGTCAACTTCGGAAATAACGACTGCGGATATAACGACAATTCGCGAATAACGACATAATTTCCATGCCCAGAGCAAAGTCCCATCCCACTGTAATCCACAAAATGAGACTTCGGGTATAACGGCACTTCGCGAATAATGACACCTTTTTGATGCCCCGCCGAGTGTCGTTATAAGCGAAGTTGGCTGTACATGTATTCACTGGTTGTGGCAACCACTCTGATAAGGCGACCACCTGTCCCAGAAGACCACTACAGTCTGCTCCAAGGGATGTTATTTCCAGTCAAGTGATCCTGGAAAAGGAGACCACTTGTACACGGGACCAGTGGCGTGCACCGAGTCTTGAAAGGGGGGTTTCTAGAGTTGGTAGATTTTTTCTGGACCCACTGTATAATTATGTATTTATGCACATGCGCATCCCCGAACATCCCGTCGGAGATAACGGCGAGGGCTAGGGAGGAGGCTGGGGGGGGGGGGGGGACTCAATATCAGGGGTGCAGGGCACCAATGAACACTGGTGCTGATGAGATGCGGGGCTCGTCCGACTGCTGCCATCAGATCATGCCGGCACAAACGCGTCAGAGAGGGAACCAGGTACAGGGGTAGAAAGGACAGAAATAAGAGTAATGAGGAATGGAGGGAGGAGACGATGTTACATGGAAATGTTGGTACATGCATAACCGGTAGCAGGATAAAACTATTTGCAAAGAGGGTGCAGAAGTCAATGACTGTATTCATATACATGTTTGTCATATTGAACCTGCCGTAAAGCCTAAAGGTTTGATAGGCCTAGCCGCCCAGGCTACATGTATACACTACAGTCTATAACTTATAAGTACCTTACCACACTATATCAAGAACATTCATTGAGTTTTTGTAATCGTTGCTGTCTGATGATCGCCACAGGCGTGAAACTCGGAGTCACAGCCAACCCAAGCTCAGCATACCATTCTATTCCTTTTGTTGTTGTTGTTTTTTTTTTTTTTGTTGTTGTTTTTTTTGTCTATGGTACTTCACTAGTCCACACCATGCAGGCATGTTTGTTTCATCAAAACACTGCTTACATTCGACGTATCTTTCTTTCTGTTCTTATGACGAAGTTTTCGGCATGTATTGGCAACGTTCCACATGATTTCAATAAAGAGTTATGGACCTTGCTTCGATGGAAGCTCGCGGGAGAAAAGCGAAGCCCCGCGTCCTTGAGTCGCGGCCGGAGCAGCGCAAGTGGATCATGGACGCACATTTTTACGTCTTCCAGTCGACACCGTTTTTGACGAACATCTCTGCTGCGCACATGAGCGAGAACGAAAGGCTGTCATCTCGATTTGAGTCAACAGTTTGGAAGGAGATATCGTCAATCATATCCTTGAACTGACTTGCATCGCGCGTGCTTGACTCAAATTTCGAGACAAAACGGCTTTCTTGGACGTCATCGCCAATCCAGGAGCGAACCAGAGCCGCAGTAGAGATCGATCTCTCTGTGGCTACTCTCCACTGAAGAAAGAGAGAATAATGTATTTTGAACTGCATGCAAAGCAACTCTCTCTCTCTCTGACTTCGAAATAAGGACATAGTCACTGTACTGTAAACTGCCCGTCGCGTCGATCGACGCGTATGCAAGATGACCAATCCAGTACGATCTTAGGCACGCTTTTCCTTTGGCAAGATTGCCCGAAAAAAGGTGGTTTCCAGACACCAAAAAACTCATACGGTGCACGCGCCTGGGGACCACATTTGTTATGTCCCTTGCGCGGTCGTGGATGCAGTGAATGGGATTTTCGGTCTGATCTCCTCACCTCACACCGCTTTAGGAGCTGCATCTGCGCCTTGATCCTTGAAGGGTGGTGCCGTTCCTACGGATGCGGAAAACTCGGCCTCTGGCCGAGTCTGGCGCGAACCGTGGAATTTGTTGTGCCGTCGCCCTTGACATGTTTCTGTGTACAGTAAAACCTGGTTTAAGTGACCACCCCACGGTGCAAGCAAAAGCGGTTGTTAAAACCAGGTAGTCTTTAGAACCAGGTCCCGCTGTGTCTGTGTAGAACTGTCGGTGCATGGAAAAACGGTCGTTAAGAGCAGGTGGTTGCTAAACACAGAGGTCGTTTACACCAGGTTTCCGTGTATGCACGCAATCACTGGTTGTGGTGTTTTGTGTGCTGCCGCCGTGTGTTCTCTCCCACAGGTGCTGTCCAAGGTGACTGGCAGTGCGCTCTCCTCGCCGCTGAAGAGTATGGACGTGTCAGGCAAGAGTCACGGTGGCACCGCCGCTGCTGCTCTGCCCAAAGTGCCGCTGGCATCGTCGACGTTCCCCACAGCCAGCTCGTCCGCAAAGTCTGCAGCCCCGCAGCGTCCGGGAACGTCTTCTCGACCCCCGCCGGAAGGTGTGGGCCTGGTGCGGGCGCCGATTGCCGAAATCGAGGCGCCGAACGCGGAGCAGGTCAAGTTTCCGTGCGGCATGTGCAAGAAGGAGGTTAGTCGGCACTGCTGCTGCTGCTAAAAGTGTTCTCTGTGTGTGTGTGTGTTGTTTGGCTGCGAGCGCGTGCGTTTTGTCTGAGTTGCGAGCGCTTGTGTTTTGTCTGAGCTGCAAGCGTCACTGTGGGTGCGCAAGGCCATCTGCACATGTGCGGATGTGTGCACGCGTTTGTGCATATGTACAATGCATGTTGCATTGGTGCATGTGTATGTGTACGTGTATGTGTACGTGTATTTGTCTGTACATGCGTATGTGCATGTGTTTTAAAGTAGTGATACCGCAAAAGTGTGGCGAGAGTGTCCCACAAACTCGTCCTTTTGTGGTCGTGCTGTGAAGGTGGTGTACTGGCTGTGGGTCAAATTACACGCAATTGTACAGAAATTGCACGCTGTGCACTCAATCCGAACCCAGTTTACCTGAGAGCTCCACACAAGAACATGCTAATGGTGGCGTTTGATAGTGCACTAAGGTTCTCACTCCGTACAAATTAGTTGCACTTTGCCCTACGATTTTCCTTTCCCTGGCTGTAAAATCAAGTGTGACTTGCCACTTCAGCGCCACCGTTTCAGCGCGATATATTCCAGAGCATGATTTCACAGCGCCTGCTTCTTCAGCCCCATGACTATCAATGCGGTAAAGTACAGCGCCAGCAACTCAGCGAGAAAAAGTAATTCGCGGTCATTTACAGCGCGAAGAAGTTCAGCGCGATCAAGTACAGCGCGATCAAGTACAGCGCAATAAAGTGCAGCGCGAAGTCATTACTTAGACAATAATAGTCATTACAGGCGATGTTCATACATGCATTGTATAATTAATTGGTGCTGAGAAACATGACGCTGAAATCTGTTGTGTTGACGCATTTGGTGCTGAAATATATGGCGCTGACTTATGTGAAGCTGAGATATTCGGCACTTATCTGCTAGCGCTGAAGTATTCGGCGCTGAAGTATGTGGCGCTTAGGTTCACGGCGCTGAAACAGTTGCGCTCACCTGGTTGGCGCTGAACTTGAAATGGCATGGAATCAAAATTTCGAGGTGGGGCCCCTCTTTTGGTACTTGTGTGTGTGTGTGTGTGTGTGTGTGTGTGTGTGTGTGTGTGTGTGTGTGTGTGTGTGCGTGTGTGTGTGTGTTTGTGTGCATGCGTGTGTGTGTGTGTGTGCATGCGTGTGTGTGTGTGTGTGTGTGTGTGTGTGTGTGTGTGTGGACGTGTTTATACTTGGATCCGTGCGTTGCTAATTGTTCTTTTTTGTTTTTGTGTGTGTGCGTGTCCGTGTGCTCCTGTGCATGCACGGCTTTTGTTTCTGCACGCTCATCCCGGATCCAACCGCGCGCACAGGTCAAGGACGACGACGAGGCGACGCTGTGCGAGATCGGCTGCGAGCGCTGGTACCACCGGCAGTGCACCGGCATGTCTGTTCTCGCCTACAACCTGCTGACGGCGGAGGTGGACGCGGAGTGGGTGTGCGACACGTGCATCGAGACCAAGCGCATTCCATGGAGTCGTCCGCGCGACTCGTGATGCCGCTGATTTTCTGGCCGACACCGTGAACCCATCCCGTTGAAGTTAACTACCCTACCGTGACCTCTTGATGATCAGATTATACCTCTGTAGATGTCTCCTCACTGGATTTTCTGTCCTGCTCCCAGCCCTGTGCCATCTCCACACTTTAATAGTGAACGAATGAAATCACACCTGGAAGACGATTTATTACGAGACGACTACGGAAACACAACTAGACGTGACGAACTCGAGACGGAGACTGCTTTTAAGCAGTCCCCGTCCCTGTGAACCACCCTGCACCTGTTGACGACGACCAGATACCATTGTGTACTGAGCAGGTCCCGTTCGTATGATCCACCCTAGATCTGTTGATGATCCGATACCTAGAAGCAGTTCCCATCGCTATGAATCACCATACACCCGTTGACCTCTGTGGAAGCAGTTACCATCGCAATGAACCACCCTACGCCTGTTGATGATGAGATAAGTACAAGCATACCGATACCACTGTAGAAGCAGTTCGCCAGAATAATCCATCTCTGGCGGAGGTAGTGTATTGCGCCGATTCCATTGCGACTATATTAGCCGTGTCCTCCATGTTGTGCCAGTTGAGAGCGTGCCGAACCACCGGTGAGCGTATCATTCTCCGGGCTAGTGCTGTGTCCGTTCTCGGCGCGGTGCAGGCCTTGTTTCCGCGCCTCTCCACGGCAGGACCATGCACGTGTGCATGTGGCAGTGCAGCGGCAATGGCACCGCCACGGACCAACCTACCTGACAGATCAAATCATACACGTTGAGTTGAACGACTGTTGTGTTTATTGTACAGTTCCGAACGATCGTCTCCATGAATGCTCCAGTCTGAGCACAATACAGTGAGAATATGCATACACAGATGTGCTTTCCAACCCAACTGACAGTCTAAATATCTTTCTTTTTCTTCACTCCACACAAGCTCCGTCATATCGAAAATATCCTCTCTGCACGTCCGTTTTGATGCCACTCGTACTGTCTTGCTAGCTGAATGCCTCTCTGTTGTGAAGTATCTCACTCAGTTTCACATAGTCCAAAATGATATTTTGTTCCATACTCTCAGCTACTGGCAGCCCTGACCTTGACTCTCTCTATCTCTCACTTGAATACAGCTATACGTTTTCTCTACACACACTTTCTCTCTCCCTCTCATGATCTCAACACATGCTGTGTATTGTTGTGCTAAACTCATTTTTGTCTCTCTCCTCTCTCTCACGCAAATGTGTAAACATTACTCTCTTTTCTGTTGATACTGGCAACCAGTACTTTCTAGAGCCGCTCTTTCGCTTGCCTGCCTCCACAGATACCTCCCCAGTTGACTCCCTGCTGAGACTGTGTGTCCGTTTTGTTTCTCTCCAAGCTAGCTGATCAGTGCTTAGTGGTCCTCTGGAACAATGTCAGATCAATATGAATTATTTTTTATCGTTTTCGTTGCGTGTTCCTGTGATTTTTTTGTCTACTGTGGTCAGATGTTCTCTTCTGTTATGCTCACAACGAGCATGTGTACAGTTATGCAAGCCTTGTGCGCGTGTGTGTGCGCGTGTGTGTGTGCGTGTGTGTGTGTGTGCGCGTGTGTGTGTGTGTGTGCGCGTGTGTGTGTTTGTGTGTGTGTGTGTGTGTGTGTGTGTGTGTGCGCGTGTGTGTGTTGTGTGTGTGTGTGTGTGTGTGTGTGTGCGCGTGTGTGTGTTGTGTGTGTGTGTGTGTGTGTGTGTGCGCGCGCGTGTGTGTGTGTGTGTGTGCCTGTTTGTTTTTGTGTGGAGAGGGGAGATGGGAAGTGTGTCATTGAGTAATGGAATGCCATTGAGGTCATTTCATCAATGATTTTGGTGCGAATATTATGACACGAACTCATGCACTTGGCTGCACTAACGTTAGGTGCTGGTCCAGCGCCTCGGCTTCATCTCTGATCACAGTGTATTCTATTTTATTATTTTTACGTAAAGTATGCCTGCTGGCGATGTGGATGGAGGATGAGAATGGGCACGAAAAGCTGTTGACCAGAAAGACTTGGCTGCGTGCCACTGTGCTGGGTGCAAGATACTCAACGTTACAACTGCAATGCCTGTTGTCTATGTTCTCTTCGGCTGCTTTGACTTTGGGTACAAATGACTGATAGTCTGATGATTGTCATGGCTACATGACTGTTGTTTTCAAGACAGAGCTAGGATCTAGGACAGTAGGAGACTCCCACTCCCAGCTAGTTGATGTACATGTACCAAGTATATCCCAGCGGGGTAGGGGAAGGACGCAGCGAGAAAAAATAATTACCGGGTAGGGCGCTACTCCGCTAGCCTGTCATCAGTCATGTACTGTCGTAGACATGGAAATCCGACCGCGGGGCCGCCCCCCCCCCCCCCCCCCCCCAGCGCGTACAGAACGCTGCGTGCAGGGCACATGTTGATCCGATGCGACTAGCGCGCTGCATGCAGCGCATAAAAAATGCATGTGTGTACCGCTTATTGCATGGCCAGCACCCTGGGGCCGGGGCCGCAAGACGTGCGACCGGATTTCCATGTCCACAACAGTACTCAGTAGTGAGGTTTTGCATTCCGAATTTCGGTACAGCGTTCTTCGGTCATTTGTCGAACATCAAAATGTCGAATTTTCGCTCCAACGTTTGTTTTGCAAGTCGAAAATGATGTGTTTTCATTTCGTGAGCCCCAGCATCAGCAACGTCCTGTCCCGTGCTCCTTTTCTTGCTGATTCCAACGAACTTTGATCGCCCAAAGAGTCGAGGGCCAAACCTGCCTCCTCAGTCGCCTCAGAAAAACCAACTCCATGGCCAAGTCAAATTTTATGCGTGTCGCCATAGTCTTTTCAGCCACACAGATGACGGTGAGGACACTCCAGGCGAAAGAGAGTCGACAGGCATGTGCAGTGGAGAGGAGCAGTGGAGAGGAGCAATCAGAGGTAGCTGACGATGCTATGTCGCCAAAGACGCCTGCTAAGCGATGCCGAGATAAGAAACCTCTTTGAATAAATCACGCGCTAGCGCTCTTCTACAAGAAAATGCATCCGAAAAATATTTTCGGCAAAGTGAGCTTTTTCCGAACAAACACTCCGAATCTTCGTGTGCATTTTCGACCTCGCTCCCGCGTGCCGAATCTTTTTGCCGAATTTCGGAATGCAAAACCTCGCTAGTATGATGACTTTGATGTACCGGACCAACTACAGAGTACAGTCTCAGAGTAGGCACTTCAGCCGGTTTTTTCAAGTCGGGTTTCTCCCAGGTTTAGCATCGTAAATCGACAGTGGTGGGTATCACGAGGTCACACACAAAATTTCATTGAAATCCACAAAGATACAAGTGAGATATGAAGGGTTGAAGAGAGGCAATTGCATGAGGCCAAAGCAATACAATTTGTGGTATCAACAGCATCATTATTATTATTATTAAGGTACTAGTACTCCTTTGTAGGGTCAAAAATCGAAGTTTAGAAATCGGCTTTTTTGACTCTTTCAGTGGACGCACAAGGCCCTGAACCTGTGGAATCCAAAATTTGAGGCGAATCGGCACAGTCTTTGCAGAGTTACAGGCCAGTGAAGTGCGTGGGTATGTACGATGTACGCACTGCAGCGTGACCATGCTAGCTGTCAGAAGAGCAAAAATGAGTACTCATGCCACGTGGCAAAAATTCAAATATTCGTTACCATGACTGCACAAAATGGCGACCCAGCGTAAAAACTGGGTTCCCTTGCGCTTTTTGCATCACAAACAGCAACTATTCTGCACTCGCTGATCGAGCTTGAAGATGGGAAACAAAAAAATGGAAAGGTAGATACTACGTTGCCAAAAAGAAGAAATATTATGGAAAGAAGCCTGAAACAGCTCCCGATCCTAACCCTGTTCCTGTGGAAGCGGAGCCAGAAGATATTGGACGTAGCTCTTCATTTGCAAAGCTCGTCGGGTGCAAACCCTGGTGGGAGCAGGAGACATCAGACAGCGATGGCGATGTTGGAACGGAGTCTGATACCTCACTGACCTCGAACCCAGACACGAGTGACAGCAGTGATGACAGTGATTGTTTCGAGGCTGATGAGCCCCATACTGGTGCGGGAAACGTATTTTCGACTTGGAGCAGCTGCAGGAGATTCTGCTGAAATGTGTGTGCAGTTTGTAAAGTTGGCGGTATCATTTTGGAAAAGGAGAGACAGCAAGGCTTAGGATCACACATGGTCATATCCTGTTCATCAGAATCATGTCCTGGTGCTAATGTCAAGTTTTCATCGTCCATAAGAACAAGATTTTTTGACGTCAACCGATGCTCCGTTTTAGCTGCCAGGCCCATTGGCCGAGGACACTCTGGTCTCCAGAAATTCTGTGCCATTATGGACCTCCCCAAGCCTGTCAACAAGACGAACTTCCAGAAACACCAACAAGCTGCAATTGAGGCTGCACACACGGTTGGCGAGAAAAGCCGCAACTACGCTGCCCAGCAGCTGTTAGCAGAAAATCCCGAAGCCAGAGGCCATCTACAAGTTGCTGGTGCCTGTTTACCGAAGACTGGCAGACCAGGCACTTCTGAAACGGTGCTTGCTTGGTGCCACACAAAATGCCAAAGAAGCATTCAATGGTGTCGTGTGGCGCATGTGCCCGAAGGAAGTCAATGCAGGTCGCTGTTTGGTGGAGCTCGCTGCAAATCTTGCTACATGCACTTTCAATGATGGTGCCATGAGCCCTTGTCAAGTTCTTAAGAGAAATGTCGTGTTCTGTTGGCCATAACACCATCAAGGCACTGAAGAAGGAGGATACGGACCGCATTGCACATGCCGAAGTGGCCAGTTCAGCATTGCAAAAAAGCACAAGAAAGAAGAGGAGAAGAAAGAAAAAGGGCTGGGAAGAGCAAAGAACAGAGCAAGAAGGTGTCACATATGAGGCTGGTGGATTTTAGCTTGGTTTGGTGAGGTTTTGTTGCTGACATTACAGCTTATGCCTGCATTTTTGTCTGTTTTGGACCCCTTTTTTTCACTGTTTTTAGCCTACTGCGAGTGTGTTTTCTGAAGTTTTCTCTTGGATAAAGTGTCTGGACACCCCCCAAAGTATACATTTTTGGAAAGGTGATGCCCAGGCCTAGGGCACCTGGGTGTTTTCAAGAGCAACACTTTAACTAGAACAATCTTTGCCCTCTCTCAAATGTTGCAACACGGTCGCGTATTATATACGTTGTTTTATAAGGTGTATTGTGCGTCCTTTGTTCCTTTGGATGGACTTCTGCTGACCCAGGTGCCCTTCCCCAGACCTAGATGGTTTGGATCCAACAAATTTGGACCCATCAAATAGTCTTTTCCTGGACATTTTTTTAAGAAAATGTGTAGCCCGTCATATCGACAGAATGTGTACATTCTGATTTACATTTTCCAAGGATCTCGCAAAGCATGACAATATATTTTCTGCTGCTGCAATCACTACCCTTTCATCTGTGTGTGGAGAAAATTTGGAGTGATTTGCTTGTGTGGGACCAAAGTAATGCCTCTTCTTGTGCGGTCGGCCCAGATACAGCCGCGAAAAGAGTACTAGTACCTTAAAGGGGAAGTATACCCTAAAATCAAATTTTCACCAGTTGTAGTCTTCTGGGTGCTGAGTCGAATGGTCTTGGTCCGAGGAAGCTGCGACGCTCCCTTCCTACTTGAATCCCAATCGAACTCGCGCACTTCCACCGAAACTGGGTGACTGCGCCCTACTAGATGGGGATTTGTATGCAAAATGTCACTAAAAGCGCCATTTCGTTCTTATAAAAGCACGGATGACCGCGATTGGCCCATATGTTGTAGTCTTTTGGACGCTGAATCGACTGGTTTTGGTCCGAAAAGGCTGCGATGCAGCGTTCCTCCTTTATTCCCAATCGAACATGGTTGAACAAGCGGTCACGTGCTCCTGCGTACACCAGTCACCTGGTCACCGTGCCTGCAGGGTACAACTTACTAGCCTGTTTGACCTTTTTTGGGTGCAGTCCTGTCACTCGAGTTGAACTCGAGTTGAACCTTGGTGTGAAATTTGTCACCTGCTGGCGCGGTGACCAGGTGATTTGGGCACCCAGGAGCACGTGACCGCTTGTTCAACCATGTTCGATTGGGAATAAAGGAGGAACGCTGCATCGCAGCCTTTTCGGACCAAAACCAGTCGACTCAGCGTCCAAAAGACTACAACATATGGGCCAATCGCGGTCATCCGTGCTTTTATAAGAACGAAATGGCGCTTTTAGTGACATTTTGCATACAAATCCCCATCTAGTAGGGCGCAGTCACCCAGTTTCGGTGGAAGTGCGCGAGTTCGATTGGGATTCAAGTAGGAAGGGAGCGTCGCAGCTTCCTCGGACCAAGACCATTCGACTCAGCGCCCAGAAGACTACAACTGGTGAAAATTTGATTTTAGGGTATACTTCCCCTTTAAAGGGGAAGTGCATCGATTTTTCAAGTAGGGCTCAGATGAAAGACAATTGGATATCGGTTCCGATGGTATATTATCTCTCGCTTGCGTACGGCAAGGGAAACTTGCCATATCACTGATTTCCTGATCCCGTTTCCATGGCGACTACAGGTGATGACGCACATTCTGCTTAGCTCCGTGAGAGAGAAGGTCGATCACTGCAGAATTGTGTCATTTTCAGTTGTCTTCTTGTATTCACGAAGTGAAAGAAGTACTGTGTTCAATGCTGTTAGTGCCGTGAACTGTTTATTAGTAGTCCTATCCGTTGTGTACTGGGACGTGACACCGACAGGGGAAAGCTGGAGTGCGGAGACGTTAGCTGGCAAGCGAAAATCGTGACAAACCAAGTGCTGAAATCTTGGTTGGGACAAATCAAACGTTCAGCATTTACCTCAACCAAGGACCATGCCGTTTGCTCTTTCCACTTCCTGAAGATGGATGCGCTACCTGCTGGAGACTCTCCTATCTCTCGTAACATCTTCTGAAGCTAGGTGAGACGACGAGTAGCGGAGATTAGCGAACGAAATAATGTCGTATGTTTTGAAATTTTGCTGCTCAGGAGAGATGGCATTATAATTATGAACTTTTGTAGTCCATGTGAACTCAATCAGCCCATGAACTAACCCATGAACAAATGCTTTCCTTGCAGACGTGCATGTGTCTATCCAATCTACACGTAGAGATCATTCCATGCCCTCAGTGAATGGCCTATTTATATATTATTTGTCCATACACTTCATCTGCATGTTGTCTCTATGGAGAAGGATATTGTTCATTTCATATGAAGAAGTTCGGGCAATAGATGCTTTCCTCTGGTACAATTCTGTTGACCTGATGTTCTTTCTAGCTTCATGGGTAGCTTAGGTGAGGTACCATCACCATCATGTTTACATGAGGGTCAAACACTGCACCGTTCTTTGTTGTGACATGACGCAAGTTATTGTAAGTGCTCGCAGACTCCATACATTCCAGCAACACCTAGCATGGTTTTCCGTCAACGTTGTGGGTGAACAAATTCTTGTCCAACATATTTATACAGACATGCCAGCACACACCATGCGCGATACACACACTTGCCCTGCCCTGTCGAGTCACAGCCACGTGGGCCCGGAGGGGCAGTGGAGAGAGAATGGGAGAACGCCGCCTCATGGCGCCCGGGACACAAAAACAAGAGTTTGTCCGGCTACGTAGGGAGCAACACACATAAATACACCACACACACACACACACACACACACACACACACACACACAAAATGAGAGTTCGGGTCATCTGCCACGAGACTGACGTACGGCCGGGGAGAGCTTCGGCAGCGGTGTCTATTCCTGCCCTGGACCGAACGGAAGCAGCGGTCGCGGGACACACAGTATTCACCACAACACGGCTCCACTGTCGTTGGGGGCTGAGCCACACACTTGTGACGGGCAAGAACGCCACAGCGATCACACTGGCATGCTCCACGCTGCTCCTGCACACACACACACACACACTCTCTCTCTCTCTCTCACACACACACACACACACACACACACACGCACGCACACACGTGCGCACATACTGCAAGAAAGAAAGAGAGCATGCGTGTCAGATTCTTGCATAGGAAGTGTTTATCAGCACACACTTATACATGCACATGCAGGCACTCAACGACCAACTATGCACCATGCCGTATGTTCGTCAAACATAAGATTGCAATACCAAAGAACAACATAAACAAGATCACACACTTCGTTCTCCTCCAAGTGTGTCCTCCCCAGCCATTTCCCTAGGCGGAATGTAGCCTACGAAATGGTTTCTCTAGACTAGGAGAAGATGCTTGGTATTCGCCATCTCTCCTGAGAAATGTTCAGCAAAAATTTCAAAACATACGACATTATTTCGTTCGCTAATCTCCGCTACTCGTCGTCTCACCTGGCTTCAGAAGATGTTACGAGAGATAGGAGAGTCTCCAGCAGGCAGCGCATCCATCTTCAGGAAGTGGAAAGAGCAAACGGCATGGTCCTTGGTTGAGGTAAATGCTGAACGTTTGATTTGTCCCAACCAAGATTTCAGCACTTGGTTCGTCACGATTTTCGCTTGCCAGCTAACGTCTCCGCACTCCAGCTTTCCCCTGTCGGTGTCACGTCCCAGGACACAACGGATAGGACTACTAATAAACAGTTCACGGCACTAACAGCATTGAACACAGTACTTCTTTCACTTCGTGAATACAAGAAGACAACTGAAAATGACACAATTCTGCAGTGATCGACCTTCTCTCTCACGGAGCTAAGCAGAATGTGCGTCATCACCTGTAGTCGCCATGGAAACGGGATCAGGAAATCAGTGATATGGCAAGTTTCCCTTGCCGTACGCAAGCGAGAGATATACCATCGGAAACTTCAGAGTGGCATTTTCAAACACACGTCTCTCACAAACACCAACAACCGTTTATGGATCAACAAAATACTGATCAAAGTTCGCAATAGTCCAGAATACGGCAATTGTTACCACAATCACCATAGCAACCCCATAGCAACCCATAGTAACCCATGGCAACCCCATAGTAACAGCTTCGGTTTGCTGTGAAATAAGCTAGTATCGACTAGAGTTCACCAGCATGCAGGCAACTGCCGCTGCTAAATGCTATAAAAGACATTCTTCTGGCACTCAGAAGGTAAGCACACAGAGATAGCATACGCAAAATGAATTGAAAGCGGAATGTCTGCATACACAACGCACGTGCACACGTTAACGCCACTTCAAACAGAGGTTCGATGTTGGAAACCAGTTTCTCTATTGGCAGCTCCTTTGTACCAGTAGAAAGTGCAAACTAAATTACTTCGGACCTTCTGCAGCAGAACAAACTTGCAGAAGTGACGCTGCGAATTGAGAGCAAGGCGTTCGTCAGTGACACAGAACATTTTTGAGAGCTGCTCCTGTGCTGCCTCCTTCGAGATCCAGAGTCCACCTACAGCCGTGATCTCCGTCAAAGTATCCTTTTCCTTTTCATGTTGTTCTCTCTTGCGTGTGCTACCTGATCCTTCTCCTTCACTTGCTCCATACAGCAGTCATGAATTGTCTGCTGGCGAGCCTCGAAATTCGAACAGAATTTTGGTGCAGCGCGCCTGGATGCGTCGATCAAAGTGTCCCTCTCATCGGAGGATTTCTCCTGTAGCTACTGTGCCGTTTGGTTGTTCGTAAACATCAGTAGCCGTTCAAGCACAACAGGGTCAAACATTGGCTTTCAGCACGCTTTGAAAACTGGCTCAGGTTGGACGACGACGCATCTTTCTCCTTCGCCTCAAGCCCTTCTCCTCACTATCTACGTCCATATTTCCTCCTTGCGCAGCTATGCGCAAACCCTGGTGAACAAGAACTCAACTGTTTCTGAATGGAAACACGACGCTGAAGACGATAGGCAACGTTTCCAACGCGTACTAACAACAATTCCTTGTGAAAAAACTCTTTGCTGGAAGTGTACATGACCTGCACGTCGTAAAAATGTACGCACTATGACGTATGTAGGCTCTACTGAAAGCTGAACGTCAGAGCAGCACGCGCGATGCACTGAACTACATGCCCGTACAACGAAGCATGGTGCGTACCTGTACAGTTTTGCGCATGCACTTGGCTGATACCACGCAAGTATGCACTCAGACCTCAGCAAAATTTGACAGGTCTTGTCACGTGACTGAAGTGCCTACTCAGAGTGTAGATCTACTGTGCTAGCTGCGGTACAGTGTACAGACTCTAGCTGGTAGCCTGGCACGTCACGTGGCGGCACCAAACCTGTGCAGTGTGCTGTCTTCTTTTGCCGGGGGAGTCGGATACTTCCCCTCTCCAAGCTCGGGTCCAGTCCACATGGTCCACTGACCAGGCTGCGCGCTGTCCAGTGTCGTAGCTCTCACGACACACTTCCGCACACACTCGACGAACGGACAGTTCGAGTTGTTGCTTTCTTCTTGTTGCGATAAGTCTGTCGAACGCTCGCTCGTGTTTGGGAGCAAGTGGGAAGTCGACTGGTTTCGCCTTGGATCGGCTGATAGTGGCGAATTGGGATTGTTACGCCGCCAAGTGCGGCGAGCCGCCCGATGCACTCCAGAACATCAACGTGATAGCGTTCTTTCGAAGCTAAGCGTCAACGGAGTGGTGCGCTATGCGGCTATCGACGCCGGTTACCGTTCTGCTCGCTTGGGCAGCTAGCTACGCTTTGGTATGCCGTGGTGATGCCGAACATGCCAGTCCGGAGAGTGGCGCGGTCCGGCGACACAGGAGCGCTCAGTCCGCAGCGTCGAGCGGCCGGGAGTCGGCGGCATCGTCACACCGCTATCTGGATAGCTGGGCGGTGGAAATCGACGGCGGAGAGATGCGGGCTCGCTCCGTCGCGTGGGACCATGGCTTTGACATGGTGGAAAAAGTAAGCTGTGCGGTACACGATCACCTTTTCCGCAGAACGATTTTCTTTCTTGTTTGACCTACATTGTGTGTATACGTAACAGGAAAAGCGGGGAATTTTTTTGTAAACTGATGTGACATTCTTTGACATCTACGGAAATACTAGAAATTGCCTAGTCATACTGCGGGTGTCATTACATTTCAGGTACGAGTATGAACTCAAAACTGACGCTGGGACATCATCACAGAGGAGGACAATGCAATGTATCTCTGCTAAGTACTAGTAGTAGTACCCAACAACCTAGAAACTAAAGTCTGTTGACGAGTTCTACCGCATGCTATGTTATAATGCTGGGGACATGTGGAACAGCCCTGGACAGCTCACTGTATGGCGCACAAAGACCCCATACTGTTACACGCACATGGCTATGCTGATGCACCTGATGCTGATGCACCTGATGCGTGAACCTTTTTTCCGAATTCCACTCATACAATCATGTACTTTCATTGCTTGCTTTTCTGAAGAGCATGCGATAAAAGCGATTATGGAATTTTTTTGGTGTGATATAGTTCATTGGTTTGAGGGAAAGAGACAAGCGGCAAAAATCTGAAGAAAGAAATGACTGTCACCACCAGGACTCGAACCAGGGACCTTCGCTTGAGGCCAGAGATGCTCCAACCACTGAGCTATGGTGTAGCTGTCATCCCAGCAGAGACCGTTCAACATTTTCTTCAGACTTTGAAAATCACACTTCCTGTGAATCCACACAGGCGGGTGGGACGTAGCCCTCACTGCAAACCACACACTTCACGTACAAATTAGCACGTGGGGAGCCCCAAGTCATAATTTATTTTATGTGACATAATTATGACCAACGCATATGGCCGATTGGTTTGCAGGCCTGCCTGCGAATCATGAGGTCCCAGTTCGAGACCCGCGCTGGTAGCAGGGAGCATGTAAAGACTGTTTACGTGTGGTGAACTGCGCAGACGCTCACCGTCAACTGGGTACTCACAGTGAGGATAACACGGATGCAGTTTACAGGGTTATCTGCCTCAAGAAATGTCAACAAGTCCCCCCCCCCCCCCGTGACTTAGAAGGATGTGTACTTATCTGTATGGATGAAATGAAGGACGAAATGTAACGTAATGGCTAACTTTCTATACTATCTATATATATATTTTTTTTTTGTTTATTTGTGTGTGTGTGTGTGTGTGTGTGTGTGTGTGTGTGTGTTCATCATTTAGTCCGACTGGCTAGGCAACGTATATCACTTTCAGTTGCGCGATTCCAGCAGGCGACACCGGCGGAACATCAATGCCAGGGCTATTGCGCAGCTAAGAAGCATGGCACCTCTACACGGCCATACACACCGGCTAAATTCTGACTCAAGAGTAAGTCTCTCCTTCTCTCATTTCCTCTCTCTCTCTCTCTCTCTCTCTCTCTCTCTCTCTCTCTCTCTCTCTCTCTCTCTCTCTCTCTCTCTCTCTCTCTCTCTCCCTTCGTTCAATGCCGAAGGTTCTGTTTGGAATGGATTTAAATCAGCTGCTTTAGCTCAGCTTTGGTGTGTTGGTTCATATCTGTTTACTGGCAGTTCCCGGTTCACCCTTTTTCTTAAAAAATAAATTGACGAACCTTCGGGTTGTCCTACGTTTGAAGAAGCGAAGATTTTATGAGCATATTTGTTGGATAGGAGGTTCACCACATAAACAATGTCAACTGTAGGCGTTGCGCCGGACTCGATGTTGCTCGCACATCGGTTCCGTTTACTCATTTGCGCACCTAAGCCAAGTCAGTTCCCTCCACCCACTAGACCGGAAACACACTATCGTAACGCTCCCATCACTGCATCACTGATCATTGCATCGCTGATCAATGCACTACGCTCAATGGCCTCATCTTGGTTGAGGACTCTTCCTGGTTAGCGTTAACGTGTTCTACCGTCAAGCAAAGCTCTAGGGTGTTTTCCACAGGCAGAACACTGATTTAGACGCTTTTCGCCAATTTAAAAATGCTTTGAGCCGACTTGACAATGACTCGAGCCGATTAAAAAAAAAAGAAGCTTTGAGCCGAGTCACTCACTGAGCTTCATTGCAATTGGCTCAACCAGTCACTTTGAGCTCTGTTGTTGGGACCTAAGACGGTTGTAACACAGATGGTGAGCGAAGGAAGAAAAATTGTAACGTGGAAATTGTGGGCACAAGATTGTGCACGCCTGACTGTTCTATATCTGGTTCAGTTGTTGGACTCGATCGCATAACTTGTGCCCACAATTTCCATGTTACACTGGTTACAATAGCTAGCTGTGCAGAGATTGAATGTGTACAATAGCTAGCTGTGCAGAGATTGAATGCAAATATGTGCTGTTGTGCTGTCTGCAGGTACGCTGGGCAGAGCAGCAGCACGTGCAGTCGCGCACTAAGAGATCCGTTGTGGAGCTGCCCAGCGATCCGATGTTCAACAAGCAGTGGTACTTGGTAAGGACCTGCTGGCCGTCACTGTGTTGTTGCTGATTTTATTGTCTGGTTGCAAAATCCACGCACTGCATGTGAGTGTTGACGTAGGTTAGCGGGGACTGGTAGCATCTAGGGAGACAAGACAGGTGTATGCTGGGCAAGCCGCTATGATTGTCACGACATGTCTAACGGCTCTCCTGTTGATACATTTGAATTGCAGTGGATTTCCATGCACATGTGTACAACACCCTGAATAGTACCATGCCGGGTATTTTTATTTTTTTATTTTTACAAAGACCACTTAAATGCCAAACATGAGATGCAGCTAGGGGAAGCACGCGCAACCTGAATCGTGGCAGTGGTGGTGAGGTTTAGGGAGCTCTGCTGACCTAGGGTCTCGACTTCATGGCCACCTATACTGTGCTACTAGACAAATCGCTAATTTTGAGGGCCTGCGCTGCTACATTCTTTGTGCACACTGGAACACACACACACCTCTCTACTCTGTTATCGGCCTCCTTAAGAGTTGTGTTCATCACTGTTGAGACTTCAATGTAGAAATGAACTGGTATACACCTGTATTGTCTCTTATCCGGACGCTTTAAAAAAAAAGAGAGTGTGTGCATGCCATTAAAAGAAATCCTAAATCAAAGCACTTTTACCATAGCAACTGAAGCTGAAGATGGCCGGTAAAGAGGCGTGCCTGTACTCTCTCTTTTTTTTAAACTCTCGCCAGTGCCAACCTGTGTAATCCAAACATTTTCTATCAGTGGCTAACTCTATTTTATCCTGTACATGTGCAATACATCGTGCCAAATAAATCTGATACGATACATGGTAGATGAGTTATCCTGACCTCCTTTCGAATTTACTAGGAGTGGGAAACAGTTCTAGCGTTGACTATACTATTACTAGCACAACTAGTACTACTGTGTCCGGCAGAACCGCATACGATGCGCAGAGAAGCAAACCAGAAATGGTAGCATCAGAACACATCAAAAACATTTCGTGAAAACTAGAGGCAAAGTATCTTTATTGCATGTTACATGGACGAAGTGAAAAGAAAGAACAATGAGGGAGTGGGATTTCGCGACGGTTCTGTACTACAAGTAATTGAAGTACCACACAGGGAAGAGCTCTTGACAGTCAATCTTTCAGGGACTTGACAATCTCCGTCATAAATTTCATGCTCGTCAGCTGCAAAGATTGCAGATGAGCACTGCTTTGCTCCTGCATTTGCTTCAGAAGATGAGCATCTGTTTTCTGAGAATCCTTCGCAAACGTCAGCCGTCTCTCCTCCAGTGCTTCCTCATTCCTCTTTCGCTGTTCCTCAATCTCCGGTTCCACTTTCCTCCTCTCGGGATCTCGCTTATTCTCATGCTCCATCCACTGTTGCTGCATCTTCTCATCATGCTCCAACTGTGCAGCCTGCATGTCCTTCTGCATCCTTTCCAGCGATGGCAGGATTTCTGCACTAGCTTGACCTCGACCAGCTCTTGGCCTCTTGCTAGGCAAGATTGCAGTTTGAGATGAAACTGGCGTGGCAGTTGCACCACTCACCGACTCAGCAGTCCTTGCCGACACAGCGTCTTCCACACTGCTCTCATCGCCAGAAGAAGTCGGCAGAAGACCCGTCTCATCAACATCACCACTCAGCTGCATCGTTCGTCCACGGCGTGCCGATGTCACCAATGCAGGCAACACAGCAGACTTTGCTGGTTGGGGTGCAGGAGGCTGTGTGCTAGTGGCACAAGCGCTGGCAGCATTCGAGGCAGCAGTTGCTGTAGCTAATGGGCGCGTGGGGGTTGTGGGGATCGGTATGTGTTCCCCCGGCAAGGTGATCAGTGGACGTGTCAATGGAAATTGTGAGGCTGTCTTGGCATTCACCTGGACCCCACTGCGGGTTCTGGAAAAATAGGCGATGGTACAGCTGAAAATTGGGCCATGCAGCAGTTGCCGCTTGAATATCGTAATTGCTTGCATCAAGACTTGTCCCTGGAATGAGGCACAACAAATGCATATGAGATGGAATCAAAGGGCAAGTACGGCTTATTATCCCTATAATATTGCATCCTGAATTGGGACAAATCACAATATCTATTTTCCAATTTGGTGTACGACGTTGTGCAAGCATAATGTAGGACGAACAATTCAGTAACATAGGATGATGTACATACACGCCAGGGGCGGATCCAGAGATCTCTACAGGGGGGTCCCGGTTGAACCAAAATTGAACAGCCAAAATATTATGGAATCAGATGTGCGGTTGACACTTTAAAAACGACAATCCGATTGTGTTAGTGGAATCGCATGCTTTTAAAACACACTACGGACATAATAATTATTATTATATTTTCCATCATTGACCACACCACAACTGCGCTCTCCAGCCGGCCTCGACACGTTGCCACAGCACACCACCATCGCTGGAGACTGAGTCGGAGCGCAGTTGTGGTGTGGTGGACGATGGAAAACCTGTATAGGGCCAAATGCTGCTGCTTACCCTACATTGTATATTATTTAGTACGGACACATGAGGGTTGGTATATTTTATTTTACTTCGCCAGAATGAACAGGCATTGCTGCCTTCTTGCCTGGACAATGGGGTTGGCCAAGCTCTCACAAAAAAGACGAAGAACATGTACATGTATGCAATCGACAGGCACACAGGTTCAGTGAGGGCTTGAAGACCCTTTCAACTTCTTGTAAAGATCGAATATGCAAGCCATGGGTACGTTGAGAGCCAGGAATGCCGAAATGACAACTAAGTTACTTTCTTCACTAGTTTGAGGGAAAGAGACAAACGGGAAAAGTCTGAAGAAAAAATTGACTGTCACCACCAGGACTCGAACCAGGGACCCTCGCTTGTAGCTAGCGATGCTCTAACCACTGAGCTATGGTGTAGTCGTCATCCCAGCAGAGACTGTTCAACATTTTCTTCAGACTTCGTAACTCACACTTCCTGTGAATCATCCACAATTCTTTTCCCGTAAGTTACTTTCCCTGTCCATTTGTACTTTCGGAAATTTTTGGCATTTTTACGATGCGAAATGCTCTATACTATTGACTATAGTCACAGGACAAGAGCATCGTCTTCACTTCAGTGACAGAAACAACAACAGCGAAACAGTGTCAACAATTGTACAATCCTTCCAATGTCATCTAAAACACATCGCTGGCGCAGCACTCCGTTCCTGCGGAGGAACAACTAGTCACTACTGCATGCTGCAGCAGGTAGAGATTACTGACTTTACTTGGACGTCGGAGCCCTCATCTTCTGAAGAGCTTGAACTCTACGTGTACGGTTCGAAGTTCGTTGAAGAGTATCAGTACTCGGAACATCCTTTCTCTTCTGCAAAAAAACTTGTCAAAGGAATACTGACCACACCACACGCATCCTGAGCAGCAGTGAATGACAGCGGCAATGGAGGTAAGTTTGGATCGTTTCGAAAGATCAAAAAGGAAACAACCACCCAATATTGTCTACAGTGTCCGTTTGTAAATCACGGACGTGAACACCATACCAGTACAGACTACTATCTGTACAGTATCGATCTACCGCACGCGCAGGCAGTGCACTGACTGACAGTCTGTGCTCCTTGACTCAGTGACTGCACTGACTGTGATCGGACGGACGTCCTTTTGTGCACACATGATATTTTTCGATATTTCTCAGCCGCACACTTTGCAAAATTTAGGGGGTTCCATGGAACCCCCGGAAACCCCCCTGGATCCGCCACTGCACGCCAGCAATAAATCACTTGCTTTCCTATGCCGTGATTTTGTGAATTTCCCATGACACCTCCTGCTGTAGTTTGTTTTCAAGGGCCCGCGAGCCCGAGCAGACGTGACTTTGTTCCGTCGTGTGAAAGGCCTATAACATTAAAACGAATACAGTAAAACCTGGTGTAAGCGACCTCTGAGTATAGCGACCACCTGCTGTTAACGACCGTTTTTCCATGCACCGACAGTTCTACACAGACACTGTGGGACCTGGTTCTAAAGACCACCTGGCTTAAACGACCGCTTTTGCTTGCACCGCAGGGTGGTCGCGTAAACCAGGTTTACTGTACTTGCACTTGCTAATAGCAGAGCTTTGTCCAACCCCGACATTAACAGACTTACTGGTATTGTAATTATAATTGGAATCCACTTGGCGATTCGTTTATCTGATACTGCCCTGAGCAGTTGGAGAGCTGCTTTGATGAAGTCAGTGTCTGTTAGTGTGTGCTTGCAACACATGATGTGTATCAGTGTGGGGTAGTGATGGTGGTGATGAGGGTGGGCGGGTTGGGTGGGGGGTAGGGGAGGAGGCATGATGTTTTTGGGGGGGGGGGGGGGTAGTGGTGTTTAGAAAGTACTGTTGTATCATTTGTAAGTACAGTTGGGATATGTCATAGAGGAAGGGGTATGGCTATTGGGTAGCTCCCAGTACATTGTGTGTGATCTGATGAGACCAGATATTGACAGCGATCAAAATTAATACCGGTCTAAGTATAAGTATGTGTTTGTGTGTGTTCGTGTGTGTGTCTGTCTGTGTGAGCACGTCTATCTGTGTCTGTGTGTCTGTGTCTGTCTGTGTGGGTGCATCTGTCTGTGTGTTATTGCTATTGTGAATGTTCATGTGCATATCACCACACACCATGTTGGTATTGGTCATGCTCATCTCAGCACAACACAGGACAGACTCGCAGTCCTGCGGGATTCGACCATGACGTTCTGCCGGTGTGGAATCAAGGGTTCACCGGGCGTGGCGTCACCATGACGATTGTGGATGATGGTACGGCGCTATGTGCATTCCTCTCGGTTCTATCATCCCCATGACATTAACTTTTGGGCACACACAACCTGGCACGGTTAAGAATGATTACAGGCTACAGACTGCACGTCGGATTTGTATTGATCTTGACAGCAGAGTTGTGTGATTGCTTTGCTGCTTGCTGTCAAGTCCCCTCTGCCTGAAGCCAATAACACATTCTCCCGGCATGGCATTCAGAATCTCTGGATAGTTTGTTACATGTACAGGTACTGTACAGGCAGAACATTTCGTCAGCCAATAATTTCGTTCCACTGGAAAGGGAGTTCGTCCGGTAGAAAATTTAGTCCATGGATCATAAAACTGTATTGAAAAGCTGGACAAATCGACATTAGTCCAACATTTAACTTAGGGGTCGTCCACAAATATCGATGTTTTTTTAGAGAAGATATTCGTTCGTTTGGCGGGGAGGGGGTTTGGGCCCTGTTCGTCTCGTCTTTGCAGAAAAAAATATCGACTCTATCTATGGACGGGCGCTGTTCGAACATGTAGTTTATGACCTACACAAAGTGAAAGTCAACCTCGTGAGCATAGCCATGGCAAGGCTGTGCGACCGTGGCAACATAAACCTAGGTGAAACCGTGTATGGTGAAATTAGAGTGGCAGCTGGTCACGTTTCATGAGGAAATTGAACTTCATTAAAAAATATCGATCCCTTGCATAAACATGTGTATGTTCGTTTTGAGGGGGAGGGAGGGGGTCTGGGGAGAAATGAACAAATATCGTCTTGAAAAAAACATCGATATTTACGGACGGCCCCTTAGTCACAAACCTCCTTTGACGAAAAAACGATTATAAATTCTAGCTGAACATTTCTGATCATACAGTACAGAAGATAATACATCAATCAGCATACTTTTTTTGTTTTCTCCTCCGATAAATGGTTCTATCTTCTGTGCTTGATGTATGTATTCTCTACCCTGCCTCCTGGTCTTCATTGCAGGAGTCGAGCGCACCCACCCGGACCTTGTCGACAACTATGTAAGATCAGTGATGGTCTTTTGTGGAGTGCAAAAACCACATTCTTTTCGGACACGTAAATTAAATGAGTAGAGAAGGCATTCGATTTATCTCCCACTGCCTTTCCTGCTGCAGGGTGTCGTGCAAAGGAACCTTCTGTGGTTCATTTTCCTCACAACTGTAGCAGTGCTTGGGTGTATTGTACCATGTCCATGGTGCAATGTGGTGACCAGGACAATGGCTGGTTGTGTTAGCAGTGTGCCGATGGGTAATCAAGACATCCAGGTGCCTGTGCAGCACATCACGGGAGCCATTCCCTGGCGGGACGGATTTTTCAAAGGCATATTATGTGTTGTGCTTTGCGAGTCCAATCACCCCTACGCGCCATTGTGGCTCATCCGTACCGTCCGCTTTTCGACATCGTATCGATCTTTCGAATTATCCTGGAGCATGTACCGCATTTTCCGGAATGTAAGCTGCAGTGGAGTATAAGCCGCACTCCCCATTTTTTTTGCCATGAAATACTAACATCTAACCTATATTATCACCGTTAATTTGATCATCTGAGTATAAGCCCAACCCTGTTTTTTGGGTGAATTTTGAGTTTTCCAAGTGCGGCTTATACTTATACCGGTTTTTTTTCTCCGATTTCGGTATTTTTCTGCAGTCCAAGCACCTGAGTCATGACTTCAACAACGGCGATGAAGACCCGTCGCCGCGTTACGATGGTGCAGGCACAAACAAACACGGTACCCGCTGTGCTGGTGTGGCCGCAGCGGCTAGGAACAATATCTGTGGTACGGGAGTGGCGTATGGTTCCAAGATCGGCGGTGTGCGATTGCTGGATGGACGAGTGACGGATCTGCTCGATTCGAATGCCATCAGCCTGCGGCCACAGGTATCAGTCGATGTGCTGTCTTGGTTTGTAGTGGTGGTTCTGGTGGTGATGGAGTGGGGTGGGAGTGGTGGTGGTGGTGGTGGTGGTGGAGTTGGTATGTGTGTGTGTGTGTGTGTGTGTGTGTGTGTTGGGGGGGGGGGGGGGGGTGGTGAAGGTGATTTTGGTGGAGCTGCTGCTGAGTACTGGGTCCTCTGTGACTATGTGTGCATGGTGAAAGGGGGTGGGGGGTGAATACACTTGCACATATGCATTTGCATGTCTGTGTGTGTGTGTGTGGTGGGGGGGGGGGGGGGGGTGGGCATGTTTGTTTGTTTGTGCACTTATCTGACGCAAATTTACGCTTGATAACTGCTCTTCTTGTATGCTATTTGAGAGTCCCTGCAATCAGCGCTTGACCTCCTCAGGCAACAGTGTCTGCATAATGGTTCAACTATTCAGTGACCTGGTTAGGAAATGAGTCCTGTCAGTTTTGACCATAATTATTATTTCTATGTACTCGTACATTATTGACCATAAAGTTGACAGAATATTTCTGCTCAGTATGACACTTGTGTACTGCTGTTCACGTTTAACCCTCACAGCATATTGATATCTACAGCAACAGCTGGGGTCCCACCGACAACGGTATGACGGTCGGTGGTCCCGGTAGAGTTACTCGCCGTACACTCTCCGCCAACATCCTCAAGGTAAGGGAAACTCCGCCTTTCCAGTATTGTATTTTGTAGTTGTACTAAGTCTTGTACTCGTGACGAGGAAAACATGGATGCAATGAATGGGATTTTCGGTCTTTGACCACTTGCTGGTGAGCTGATCTACTCACCTCCCACCGCTTTAGGAGCTGCATCCATGCCTTGATCGTTGAAGGGTGGTGGCGTTCCTACGGATGCGGGAAGCCCGGCTTCCAGCCGAGTCTCACGCGCACCGTGAATTTTTTAAAGTCTTGTACCAGGGGCGTAGCTGGTCCCCCTTTTTGGGGGGGGGGGGGGGAGTGCACGACCCCCTATGTGTAGAATGGCTGGTGCATGTCAACCATGGTCATTATGTGCATGTTGAACCTAGGTCGAAATGTTTAGGGGGTACATGTGCCTCCCATGCCCCATGTGGGCTACACGTCTGTATACTGTTTTTTCTCTCCAAAGTGATTACCAACCACTAATAAGAGTGTAGAAGTGCACAGGTATTTCCAGTTCAGCTGAGTTCTTGATTCGCGTCCACCGTCCCCTCGTACACCACCTATCTGTCGCTTGGCATGCTGGGCGGGTAAACATGGGGACGTGAAAGCAAAAGAATGAACGCATGTACATGTATATGAAGGCAGACTATAGTCAGTGGGAAGCGTCCTCGGGGTCATAGCAAACTGTTTTCGTCAGGGCGAGCCATGTGGCAAGAACAGCAGCTGTTACTGGACGTAATGTCATTTAAGAAACTTCAATAACGGTGCTACAGTGAAACCTGTCTAAGACGACCGCTCAAGGGACCTTCAAAATGTGGTCTCTGTTACCAGGTGGTCTCCTTATCAAGGGTCATTTGACTGGAAATAGCATCCCTTCGTCCTGGTTTCAGTGGTCTTCCAGGACAGGTGGTCACCTTGACAGGCTTTACTGTATATGATGGTGTATTTACAGCACGGTCAGTGGACCGAGCATGTACTGGGATTCCTAGGACGTCTCATGGCATCATGTCTACCCGTGTCGTACGCATTTCCTTAGTTGAATTTGCAAGTACACACGTGCTATTCGCCCAATTGCATGGAAGCACATGTGAGAATGAGTAATGCGAATGCGGGAAGGAGAGATCGTTGCATTGTTGAACAGCCGAATGGAACCGTTCACAGCTTTATTGCGGGAAGGAGAGATAATCTTTTCTTTCTTGTCCTCTGTTTCCACCACCACCACCACCACAGGGAAGGGATGGCCTGGGTTCCATTTTCATGTGGGCGTCGGGAGTGGGCGGCTTCCACGGGGACAGCTGTGCCTACGACGGCTTCATCAACAGCATCTACACCATCGCCATCAGCGCGGGTACGGACGGAGCGCATGCGCCGTGGTACGCCGAGCCTTGTGCCGCCGTGACAGCCACCGGGCTCAGCAGCGGTAACCCGCTCAGCAAGAAAGTGGTAAGTCGAATGTATTTTGATTGATATTATATTTTCAAAGATTTGCCGGAGGCAAATTGATGCCTATCAAAGGGAGTCTCTTGGGGAAAGGAAGTGAAGGTGGCTGTTATGAGAGAGGGAGGATGTAATGACATCACACTCCTGTTAGTACCAACCACCGCTAATTGTCTCTATCTACATGTGCTAGAGCACCAGAAAAAATGTAACGTTCGCACGTCCGCGTTACAACCGGCTATAAAATTGCGTTGAGAAACACAACCAGCTTGGGGAGTTTCACCACCATGCCTGTAATACCAGGGTGGCAGGTGCAGCAGCAGTACAACTATCAATTTTCTGAATTCCCACTCCTGAGTCCCCACTCCTGAATCCCCCCCCCCCCCTTCCTGAATCCCCACTCCTCTGATGTATGTATGTATGTACTTTGAAGTATGCTATTCCGCATGTGACCACTATAGTAAGAATAGTTCTGTATTGAAGTGCAATACCCTTCAATTCCCTATTCTCCTTGTTTACTCTCTACATTCACATTCCCGTCATTGGACACATTTGCCAGTTTGAGGCTCGAATTCGAATAGACACAAATTACAGCTGTGTCAAATTAACTGTCAATCCTGTTGCACATTTTGTTTTGCATTGTTGCCAAGGGAATCCATATTGTTTGTGGTATTCGTTGGAGACTGTTTTTTCCTTCTCTACTCCACTGTCCAACTATTGAAAAAACTTGTATTTTACTCATTAGTCGCTTCATCGACTTGTTGTATGCAATACTATACTTCTATGTGGGTATTTTTGTTGTGATACCTCCTCTTTCCCCCCCCCCCCCCCTCCACCGGAACTAACTGAAATGCGCTGAATGATGATTATCGGAAATTTCGGTACTCTTAGTGGGCCAGTGAGTCCCAGTGGGCCAGTTGATCAATGGGCCATGGGGGAATTTAATCCCAACAAATTCTGCACTGTGTGCTCACTGTGTACTCACTATGTGGCTTTCAGGTAAGCACTGACTTGCATCAGTCCTGCACTGACCAGTTCTCTGGAACGTCAGCAGCTACACCCATGATGGCTGGTGTTGTCGCTCTCATACTGCAGGCAAGGTAAGGTGATACAGACCGCAAATATATTTCATTTTTTGCAATGTACTAGTAGCTGTACAGTAGCTGAGCTGCATCTGCTCCTTGACCCTGGGGTGGTGGCGTTACTACTGATGCGGAAAACGAATGCGGAGTCTCACGCGAACCGTGAATATTTTTTCTTTTTTGTACAGTACCTATTGGTGTCACGACGAAGCACAGGCCGTGTTGCTAAAGCCGAAACCCCTGCAAACAGTGCTCAATACCACGAGGGCAGAGCCGAAAGAGCGATTGAACCACATACTTCAGCCTGGTCCCAGTGCTTGCTCGTGTTGCCAGGACAAGATATTTACTTTGCACTTTTCCTGACTTCGATTATTGTTTCTCTTGTTTGCTCCTGAGCGTTGTAATATTACTGATGACATGACGAGAACTTTTTTTTAAATATTTGGGCAATTGTTAATTGCACTGTCAAATCGAAATGCGAATCGTCTCTCTCTCTCTCTCTCTCTCTCTCTCTCTCTCTCTCTTTCTCTTTCTGCCTTGTTGTTGTCCCCCTAGACCTCATCTGACATGGCGTGATGTTCAGCACATCATTGTACTGACGTCACGACCCAACATTCTACACGGCAGTTCCTCGAATGCACATGCTGAACAAGGTAGGTGAAGGTGAAAATGTACAAGCTGTTAGAAGGTTTTAGCATTAGCGTAATTGTGTTATCAGGTATGTTGGCGTATGTTGTGGGCCAATCATCCTTGATCACGATTCAATAGTGCACTGAAGAAAGGGCATCGCTCACTGGATTGAAGTGTTCTTGTGGAAATGCATGTTGTCAGGATCTCCTTCTCCTGCGCATGCATATGGTTTTATGTTCCGTACGTTCCCGGTTATAAGTTGGACCTGATTAGTAGTCGCAAACTCATTCTCAGGCTTGAGCCGTATTGTTTCAATATGCTCATGTAAGTAGGATGTCACCTTCTTTACCTGAGAAGTTTACTGTTTGAAAAAGTGAGACTTTTATTTGGAGCAGTAGGGCAGGTGCATGCGTATGCTCATGCGTATGCAGTACGGGACATCTGTGGTGTTGGATCAGTAACACGTGTGACCAGCATGAAGATACCGAATTTTTGACGCTATTCGATCAAAGACTGCCCCTAGCAGATTCGGATAGGAAATTTCAAATTCCAAGCTTCAAAGTGGCACTGGACACGCGGCATGAAATTGCCAATACAAGTCAGATGGCAGGAAAGTTGCATGTTAGCACTGCTGGGGGGGGCAATCCCACTTGAATGAGGAGTGTCCGGGGAGATCTATGGCATCTTTGATAGCTCTGCAAAAACACGACTTTTTTGTTTCGAAATACATCACTGGTAGATGGAGAATAGTGGATTGTTTGTTCGTCCTTGAATTGGGATTCTTGAATTGGGATTCTTGAATTGGGATTCGAGCTAATAATTGGTCGTGGAAATCATGCATTGCTGCATCACTGAAATACAGTAATTTAGTTCTCTGCTCCTGGCTTTCTTTCTTCTCCTTCCCCAGAATGGGTCACTAACGCTTGTGGTCGTCGTGTCAACCCCTGGTTTGGCTATGGTGTGATCAACGCCACTGCCATGCTGGAGCTGGCCAAGCGATGGCTGACGGTTCTGCCACTGCATAGCTGTTACACAAAGGCGTACAACAAGCACAGGTACCGTAGAACTCCCCTCGGATGCAACATACTGTGGGTTGTATGACTACTGGAAGCAGTTTTTAGTCCGGTAGTATCACCGCCTTTCACACAATTTTGCAAAGAGCTATTTTGTAACCTGCATCATGATTGATGTGGGAGATAGTCAGATAGGACAAGCGGATTCGGATCGCTGGTTATGAATGTATGCTTTTGTTGTTCAAACTTGAAGCTATGATGGCACTATAAGTTCTTGCAGAACTGAGACAACTAATTGCGAAGCAGGGAACTACAACTATGTACGAGAGAAATTGAATATGGTATCGTACTGGAGCACTTTGAACTTGAGTGCGGTTAGGGCCGCGTCACTGCCGGCTTCATACCAGCAATAATGAGTATCACAGCGCATGGCAAGACAAACCTTCGCTCTACCGATGTGGAAATGCGCTCGAAATTACACCAGTTATTTGCTTTTGAGAATTTGACTGCCAAACTGATACAAGAATCAATGAAATTGGGAGCACAATAGCTTGTGTGAGACAGCAAGGGTGTGGAAAGCACCCGGAATCACTGGGACACAGTACGTACCAGGCGCGTGCCCCGTATGGGTTCCTGGGTGCCCGGAACCCCCCATTTTTCGCTCAAAATGCAGGATTTTGCTTCATTTTTTGAAAAATTTCCCGGGGACACCCCCGCAACCCCCCCCCCCTTGAAGGGCACCGGCGCACGCGCCTGCGTACTGTTTCTCATCCTGCATTTTTATTTGTTCATATGCTTTGTTTATGCAAGGAGCATTGTGTGTGCTGACGGGTCTGGGTCTACGGTGTATAGTGCGACTCTAAATTTGATACATCATTTTATGGTTTACCTGTTTCAGACCAATCAGCATGGACGGCATAAAGATTCAGATCACGACTGAAGGTTGCCGTGGCAAAGCGGGCGAGGTCACCGTCCTGGAGCAGGTGCAGCTGGTGCTCAGCATGAAGTCCAACTATCGCGGCGCCATCATCGGTTATCTCACCTCACCGCAAGGCACACGAGTACAGGTAGGCTGAGACAGTATGTTGTATTTGCCTGCTATTTGGCATGCGTGATGTGATTACGAGAGCCAGAATTGGCCCATACACTACTCTCCCACTTCAACTAATATGTGTGGCCGATGGATAGCTCTGCTGCCAGTCTGTGATATCGCAGAATACATTTTAAATGTGTCACAAGAACTTGAAGTTGATGGCGACGGTATTTCAGGCATGGTGTGCAGACGTTCTATTTTTTTGGCTGTGTTCTTTTTTGCTCATCTTGTTGCTGCGATGACCAGATCGTGTTCCGCCGTCACGTGGATCACTCCAGCGCCGGTCTGCACAAGTGGCCGTTCACCAGCACGTTCACGTGGGGAGAGGACCCGCGCGGCACCTGGACCTTGGAGCTGCGCACAACGAAGCAGAACGCCCGCAGCGTCCTGGAGCGAGCACAACTGGTCCTGCACGGAACGTCCGGTGTTCACGCACACTACGCTAAGTTGGCAAAGAGCGACGGCGGTATGACGTGTAGTCAGGCAAGCGGCAAGGTCGGGGGAAGTCCCGTTGACTCTAAATAATCCCCGCAGCACACCCACTCCTCTGGCAGCAGTGATTTCTTTTAACTCCAATGCAAAATGTGATATGACATTCTTCTTCTTTGGGTGGTGTGAGAATGTTATGCTGCGCATCACGTTACTCCACTCCCGCCTGCAATATTCCTAAGGGTGTGCAGACTCCACTGTGGCCACTTTATGTTTCACACAATTATACACCAAATTCTATGGAAGACTTTGTAGCCGAGAGACTGCTTTTGGGTAGTGGTGTATGACTGTGTGAAACGGCCTGCAATCTGCCTTGCGTATTAGCCCACTTTCCCTGTGCACTCTGCATGTAAATTATGCTGGACTTCTCACACTGTGTGCACACATCCTTGCCGATTCTAGCGACACGTCTTACACATTCTCAGTATTGCATTCTCTGCTTTTTCTGCCAATTTACTTACTGACACATAATACTTCTAATATCATGTCATTATCTACAAGTAAGCAATTCACACTATCAGAAAGTATTCAACATGGCGTCATCTATTCATTCCAGCATACTTGTACAAGATAATATGATCATGTTCAGCCAGCTCTATTCATCTCCCGCAGTTTGTTGCATTCCTTGGAGTTTTCACTAGCGCCAGGTTTGAAAAGGTGGTTGCCAGGGGCATTGTTTGGTATGAAGGGCGAATGTTGCTGTGAGGCTCGTGTATGTATGTGCATGCGTGTGTGTGTGTGTGTGTGTGTGTGTGTGTGTGTGTGTGTGTGTGTGTGTGTGTGTGTGTGTGTGTGTGCGGGGGGGGGGGGGATTGCTTGTATCTGTATTTGTTTGTATGCTAGAAACTCACAGAATAGGCATCGTTGCTACATGTATGTGCGGAAAGTTATGGTATTCTGCATAGTAGCAAGAGTACATGACCCCATGAACTCTTGATAGTAGATACAGCCTTCCAGGGATTTCCCCGTCCACCCATACCATTATGAAATTCCGCTGCAGTTCTTATCACTGAGCACTTCATCAGCCATCACGCCTAATAAGTCGTTGTATGTGCATGTACTTTTATGTTCTTGTTGTTGAAATGTCCTCAGCACCAAAGTTGGCAACACCATATTTATTCTATTGCCAAATCTTTCTAAAAAGAAAAAGAAATTATGCCATAATTATTGCAGTTCAGACAGTATTTTGGACGAAGGTTAAAACATGAATTGGCTGCAGTGGAGGCTGCGCTCAGAATTCAAATACCGGTACCTTTAACCAAAAGCACAGATGTGTCCGAAACACGGAAGAGGGGAAGTCAAGGTCGCGAGAGTCAAGAATAGGATGTTGACCAAATACCATGTACAAGCAGTCTAGACAATAGGAAAGTCTGCTGGGGGGGAGAGACTCTATGACAGAATCTGCACATTGGGCCAAGTGCGCAAAGGGAAACTCTCCTAACCTACGCCATGTTTTGCAACCCTGGATCCGAGCCTGTAATTGAGCACAAACGTGCAGACACCACAATCATGCACCACATCAATGACCAGCGATAATAATTATTATTATTATGTGAAATCATGCGGACTGTCTTTGCACTGCTGACTTCACTTGATTATGCAGGTCTTTGCAGTAGCTGCACTGCACTGGTACGGTACATGGTGTGAAGAACATTTCAAAAGTTGCCAACGGACAACGGTCCATTTTCAGCTTGACTGGTGAGAACAATGTCCACGAACAAAGCTCATGTATGACCGTAAAGCCTTCACTGAACTCATACTTCGGCGAAGAAGTGTTTTAGTTCGAAGTAGTTATTTCCGACAGGGATCAATGTCAAGCCTCTGTGCGTTATCCGTTTGCCATGGCGATTCGCGTGAAGGAAAGAGCCATAATAGCGCTCAGCGTCGACACTGCTGATATCTTCATCCTTGCTTACTGTATCGCCTTGCACAGGTTCATATGCTGGTCAACGGCGCTCCTTCTCTATGCAGTAGATTGCTGGTGCTATGTGTCAGTCTCCATGTCCGCTGTAGTCTGTAGTCTGTAGAGGGTACAGAAGGATAATAATAGTACATGCAACAAAGAGTATTCAGATCATCCGCTTCACGGTGTACATTGCCAGGTCTCTGCTTAAACTATAACTATATTTAAAGTAGCAGATGATAGTACAGTCAGTATCGCCTATAGCGTTGGTGTTTGATTTTGAGCATTTTATCACTATAAGCGATATATTACTATGACCGATACTGCATGCAATGTATGCGAGTGGGGTGTCAAACGACTCAGGGCGCCGTGCACATACGCACTGCATAGCTGGCTACAGCTCATGTCACACAAAATCAGCATTTCCTAACGATGGAGGCATATTTGGCAACTTGTACAAGCAGAACTCACCAAACAACACTGGACAAGTTAGTTCTTCACGAAGAAGTAACACCCTGTTCTCCTCTGACACCACTTGATTTTACATCAATCACTATAATCGTGGCTTACATTGTAGTGGTAGAGCATTGGTGGCCTAGTACGATGGTTACTGTTTCGAGTCCCAGTGGTTAAAATCTATGTTTTGAATCCCTTTTCCGAAGGATATTACTTTTGGACTCAGATGGAGAGCCAAGGTTTAATTTATACACAAGAGAAAGGACCAATATATTATTACTTTTGATAGATAAATTCAAGGAGAATTGTGAGAAATTGTGGCGTATGATCAAAACAAAACATTTTTCGAACCCATCTCGTATCTTCTCAATCTCCGGACCGCTTGCTGTGTCAACCTTGCTAAGTCTCATGATCGGGGCTCAGATTGACTGGCGAAACCAATGAAATCCAGTGAACAAAAATTCTTACATGTATTTTAATTTTTTTAAAGGATGACAATAAACATAATCAGCTGAAGCGTCATTTCACGAAGGTTTTATTGAGAATTTGAGATGTCACTAACAAATTCTGGAGATAAAACGTAAAACGATCGTGAAATGACGCTTCAGCTGATTCTGTTTTTGCCATTGTTGTTGAAGTATCTTCAAAGGTGACTTTTGTCACCTCGCCGCCTTTTCAAAATATACCGGTAGCCGGTTTGAAAACCGGCTCGATGCCTACGTATCTTACTGCAACACACGAAGGAGCTGTCCCAGCACTTGTTTGAAGTGCTGCATAGACGTTGATCTCGTCTGGTTGCGGGACAATGGGCCCAGCATTGGCCTCAGTAGTTTGTGTCTGCAATGAACGTAGAAGGAAACAAGAAGAGAAGGTACAGGACTACCAATTTCTCATAGGCTCAAAGCAGAGAAGGGATTGGGTACACAGATCCACGTTCATGACCGTATTCGAGCAAGTGTATGTACATGCGTATGAGTATGGTGCGCCATGTAAAAATGAGTTCTTGTGTGAGTGAACATTGTAGGAATGCTGTCCTGGTGTGTACCGGTATCTGAGTGGGTTGGGTTATGTTTTGCAACAGTCAAATTACAGTGAGATTATCATAGCAAGGAGGATTACAAGTTACACAATACGGGACTGCCAAAAGGAATCTTGCCATCATAGACTGCGTAAACACCGGACTTGAGCATGTCCCGGAGCGAGTCGCGTTCACAGATCTTGTACTGGATGCTGGGGAGACCGTGTCATCCGGTACGAGGTAGTCTGAAGGAACCTGAAGGCCCATGAGATTATCAAAATAACCAACAAAAATTAGTACAGTACGAACGAGCCTGGACCCAGAGAGAAATGCACGGTCACAGGCAGTATTTATATGCAGACATGATGTTGCGTATTGTACTGAAGTAAGTATCAGTTCAGGGAAAATAGATGCAGATTATGTACTTACGATGCATGGAGTGATTGACTTTGAGGACTTTGTCGATTGTGTTACCACGCTAACACTGTGGTAATGCATGCTGTCCTCTGAGGTTTCCTGTGTAGCAATGTATCCCAAGAAACAGAAAAAAACTAGTATACATTGCACGTCTTACCATCTTGATGGACAGTGAGTGATGAGGACTAGAGTACCCATTTCCGTTAAGGGATTGGGTCTCAGCCTTGTCTTTGAAAATCAAAATGTCACATTCGAAGGCCGAGCCTCCGAAATGCAATCGTGAATTCCGCTAGGACCCTAAAGGTCTGACGTGAAATGAAGGTTGCATAAGTTAAGCATTCCTTTTCTCTGAAGAAAGCTTCCACATTCTCGTACGATGCTGACTTGGTAAGTCGCTATTTAGTCAACATTGGGATTTATGCTAGCACTTCGATCCTCTTGAATTATCGTTCGCTTTCGCACTCGATCACAGCTATACCTGCATGGCCTGCAGGAAACATGCGGCTGATTTCCTAGGGAAGCAAGTACTCAAACCCTGTTGCGAATCTGCACTCATCGCCAAACTCAATCGAGCTTTTGCAAAGTACCCCGGTATATCGACAAAAGAGAGAGAGAGAGAGAGAGAGAGAGAGAGAGAGAGAGAGAGAGAGAGAGAGCGAGAGGGAGGGAGTACGTGAGAGGAGAGGAAGAGAGAGGGAGAGAATAAAGATACTAGTATGGGAAGATAGAGAGAGATAGATACAGAAAGTAACTTTCAAGAGTCTTGAGACTGAACTTAACAATGGAATTTTCAACTTCAAGGTTCCTCACAGTTTCGTGATCTCACAAAATGTAAAGCTCTTTTGCTTGTAGTACTGAGGACAGAACTGTAATTTGACTTACTGACAACATGGCTGCACCGCATATTATTCTCTTTGACCTCACTGGAACTTCTCCTGACCGTTTCTGCAACAGAGAAGAATCGAGAAAAATGCGGAGAGGAGTATGGAGCTGTACTGAAGAACCACCAGAAGGCCAAACACAATTGCAGCTCTCTGCAGACAAACTGCAGTTCGAACAAAGTCGGTATTCTGCTAGAAGCGACCAGTCATCAAGGTTCATCGAAATATTACTGCATTGTCAATTTTGATGAACCACTCAGGGCCAATACTTGGTGCGAGAGCTGAGGTAAAACAAAGTGGAAAATAAAAGACGAAACCTTTCTCGTCCCTTACCTTGTCCTTTACTGGCATGTGCGCACGAAGAATAGTGGCGACAACCCAGGCGAAGACCACCATGAACACGAGAACGCTTGCTATGACCAACGCAAGTGCTGTCGTTGAGCCTTGTCGAGTCTCACGGGATACTAGGTTTGTGGCTGTACAACGACCAAACGTAAGATCACAAGTGATATGTATGTAACGTTTTTGTAACTTTGGCATGATTACGGGCAGAAAGTTCAACGATGGCTACCTGGCCACCCATCTGTATGCGCATCTTTACACAGACATCTAGCGATAACGTTTTTGTCAAACAACGAAAAATAATTGGTCGTTAAAACGTTAGACTTTGTGACTCGTTAGACTTTCCGGTTTTACGGTACGTGTAGATCTCTACTACTTTGTAGATGCCTGAAAGATACAGAGGATCCGTATCTATTCCGTTCTGTCCAAATGGGCAAGAAATGTGTCATTAACATTGGTGATTGAGTGTTCATTGATGATTGGTTGATAACTTAAACCACGAAACTTTGAGTCGCAGCAAACAAACCCTCACCTTTTTTGTGTACCTCTTGTAGCATTGTGTGATTAAGATTGACACTGCGTGAATTGAGGGGTAAAAACAGTGGGAACCTGACTCGAAATTATGTGTTTGTAACGCCAAATCTATAGCTACGGGAAATATTCCTGTTAATGAGCGGCACGTCGTCGACTATCAGAACTGGTTTATGGATGGGTAAGTAACACAAGTTTGAAATCAAGTTCTAATTCATGCGTAGTTATGCGCGTAGGTGCTGCTAGGACAATTGGCTCGAATTATTATTCTTTATTTCCACGATGGCCCATGGCCAATAAGGAAGATAATATGATTCAAATCAGTCCAGAATCATATAAAATCAGTCTAGCAAGTAAGGAAACCAACACATTGCAGGGGGATGGGGTCACGATGGGGTACAGTGTGAGCTACTACAGGAGCATATGGATGATAGAATGAGGCTAGACGCCATTGATTTAAACGCATGCTTGCTATTTGTTTCACGCAGGTCGGGGGGTAGTTGGTTGAAATTGTGAAGGGATAGGTTGATGGGTGAGTTGGTGTGTCGGTATGTGTGTGATGTTCTCAATGTGTATGTTCTCATGTGTCGTAGTGCATATGGCTGCTCTGTGATTGGTCGTGCAAGGTGAGGCTGTTGCAGGTGAAGGGGAGCGCGGATGTACTTGATGTTGTGGGCAAGAGTAACCTGTCGTAAGAGTTGCCGGGAGACTAATGTCGAGAGTTGGAGATGATGAAGAAGTGAGCTGTGATGGACTGGTGCAAAAAGGGGGATCCGCAGGCAGATACGGGCTGCTCGTCGCTGAACGCGTTCTAATTGGTCCTTCTGTGTGCGGGTGTGTTGGATAACACGAGACTGCCGTACTCTATAACCGGGCGAATGTAGGCGGTGTAGATTACGAGCAGACTGGGGGTGTTAAGTTGGCCTCGTGTTTTACGAAGTTGGTGAAGGAGTTTTTTGGATTTGTTTATTATGTGCGTGACATGTGAGTTCCATTGGAGGTTGTTTTGTAGTATGATTCCAAGGTGACGGTGTTCTTTGACTTGCTTTAGGGGTGTGCCATTAAGAGTGATGTTGAGTTGGTGGTTTGGTGTGAACGACAAGGTAACGGTCTTTGAGGCATTGACGAGGAGGTGCCATCTGCGCAGCCAGGTTGCTGCAGGGACAACTCCGATGTCAAACGGCTCTGGTGTGTTGCGATGAGCGCCGTGTCATCTGCAAATTGGCTGCACTTTGTGTTCGAGTTGGTGCAGGCAGAGGGCAGGTCAATGGTGTAGATCAAGAACAGCAGGGGGCCTAGAACGGATCCTTGGGGCACCCCTGCTGGTATGGCTTGCCACTCACTGAAGGCGTCGCCGACACGAACACGTTGACGGCGATGGGTGAGGTAGCTGACCATCCATTGCAGGGCGGTATCTTTCAGGCCGAGGTGTTGCAGTTTCTTGAGGAGACCGGCGTGCCAGACTCTGTCGAAAGCCTTCGAGAGATCAAAAAAGCAAGCTGTGACGGAAAGACCTTTATCTCGGCTCTCGGAAACCTCGTGCACGAGTCTGGCGAGCTGGAGTTCGGTGCTATCATTGGCACGAAAACCGGATTGATCCACTGGGAGGAAGGGTGCGACGTGCTTGTAGAGTCGCTTGTGGACGATCCTCTCCTGCACTTTACTGATAACGCTGAGAAGTGATATAGGCCTGTAGTTTGTTACCAATGACCTTTCGGCTTTCTTGTATAGTGGGCTCACAGTGGCATCACGCCAGTCCTGTGGTTGTTCACCTCTCCGAAATGACTCATTGAAAAGTCGGGAGAGTGACGGCGACAGCTCACGCGCCGTGGTCTTGAGGAGTCTTGTTGGGATGTCGTCAAACCCAGGGGCTTTGCAAGGATTAAGGGCTCCTAGGAGCTGTTCTCGAATGATAGCAAGTTTCTCATTGACATCTTTACACTGACTTGATCTCCATCCTTCTAATCTTTGCCAATGTTTCACCCTCTCGCCATCGTACTAGTAACTTTAGCAGGGTAACAATGCTTAGAACATAAAATTTAATGTGCTATTTACCCCTGACCAAAATGTCACCTTTCGCGCCTTCGTGATGGGCTACTGTGGGAATTCAAAGAAACAGTTCGATAGAGAGACTTACTTGGAGACTGGATAGAAGTGGTGGCCGGTCTTGAAGTTATGCCGGTGCTGATTTGAGCCGGTCCAGAACTTTCCTGGTTTGCTGAACTAATAGTGGGTAACACTGTGTTTATTTGTGCTCTTGAAGTAACTGGTGGGGTTGAGTATGCAGACGGTTGAGAGCCGGGCATGGTTGGCGGATGAGATGAGGTGGAGCTGATGCTAGCAGATGCAACTCTAGTCGCAGAAGAGCTGTCTGTGATCCGCTCCAAGCCTGCAGTCGGGGAAGAGTAGGCAAGATGTGTGCTAGCATAGCATATTAATTCTTTATAGCATTGGGTTAAACGAGTCACGATCCATAGAGGGCGGTGGCATTCCTACGGATGCGAAGCACTCTGCCTCCAGCAGAGTCTCATGCGAAATTAAAATGTTTTTTAACCGAGTCACAGAACACGACACGTCTGGTTTAGTCGTAACTAAGAGTACTATTAACACCAGGGTAGGCATGTCGTGCGTCTAGGTGGCCATGACGTCGAGACCGTTGGTCTCCGGACCTCCCTCAACCTCATCACTACTGCCACAATTCAGGTTGTGCGTGCTTCCCCCTAGCTGCATTTCATGTTTGGCATTTTAAGTGGTCTTTGTAAAAAAAAATAGCTGGATAACGTCAATCCCAAATCCTCATGCATGAAGCTTGGGAAAGCTATTGCGTGTTGTTGCAGCTACAAGTAAGTACAGCAGCGATGAGACCATCTCCAAACCAGGCAGTTTTGACCGACGATACACCGAGCTATCGGATTAAAACCGCCCAACCTACAGAACTACCTATCACGATATATTGCGATATTGTCAGGTTATTCAGTAGCAATTATGATTACTTTACAGGAACAAAAGGACCAAGGAACTACAAGTTACGCTATTGTGCACTAACACCACAAGTTACGTGACTATCAGCTCATGCGATTACTTTGCTGGTGATGTTAGTGAACATTGTAGCGCACCTTCTAGATTCTTGGTCCTTTTTCTTCCTATAAAGTTCTCCTTGGCTCTCCATCCGAGTCCAATTATGATTATGCTGAACTTACGTGTTTCACATACAGCCGGTAACCAACGATTACATAGCTCTGCATCCTGTATTGCACTGAACACGTTACCGTTCGTTGTGAAGTTTACTGCCCGGCATTCGACATCACCGGAGTAATCCTTGGAGGATCCAGGAGGACTGCGACGGACGAAGAATCCGATTTGCAGCAGGGCTGGACGAATGGTTAGCATGCTGGTTGTGCATTGTACTGATTCGTCGTGGCTTATGTCCAGCAGGGACATATTCAGTGCAGTGCACTGCGAGACGGCATCTGTCCAGCCGAACGCTATTGGGATGTACAGGAACCGGCGCTCTGCGCAATGTGTGCTCAGCGTGTAGACCGTTCGACTGCGATGCCGTCTGCACAGATAGTGCTGAGAAGCTGGGCTTTGGCATGGTGTGACAACTGCAGAACTATTGGATATCGTCCATGCCGTGCAGTGTGGACCAGTCGGTGACAGGTGTACCAGTGAGTCCGCAACTGCATTGTTATCCCCAACCCACTTAAATGACCTGCCCTCGAACCTGGCCTGGGCGCCTATGTAGAATTTCTCAACGGTCGTCAAGGCAACGCGGTCTAGACACTCCCGGTCGTTTGGGTTTCGCCCGTAGGTAGCTAGATGACCGCCATATGAACGACACGTCTCCTCTGCGTGTTGCCATGTTATTCCAGATGTGTGTCTCAACATGAGCCATTGATAGTCGTTACAAAGCAGCCAGCCTGTGCGACACAAAGACATGACCAAAATACCAATCATGCTAGTTCACCAGCACCAGAAACTGCGTGAAGCCAAGGGATTCCTGATTTCTGCTCCCGTGTATGTTGTATTGCATGCTTGTTACGAGTCCCACAAACCCCATTTTGTTTGTACGACGTCCTGGTGAAACTTAATAAGCCACCTCATTGCACACTAACTACTTTCAAGGAGTAAGCGTATGCCAAGAAAGACCGAAAGCTAAGGGCAACAGTCATTAATTATTTGTACGGCACACGCTATTGCAACCGGTTGATTTGTGAGGTGCCGGCTTGCCAATTATACTAGTGATGTCACTCAATGCGAAAAAACACCATACAGTCAAAAGAATAGCAAACCCTAGCGACAAACTAGAGTTACAATGTACTTGGCAATTACATTGAAGAAAGTCACCCCACCACTCCACACTGCGCTCTCAAGGTTCATAAATCCATGTACCTGGACAGCAGCCGATGGACGATCGTATCAGCTCGACCTCAAGAGTTCCGGTAACGTTCGATGTGGCTTCCCAATGCACCACGATCTACAGATAGCGACAAAGAGACATCTTTATCCCAATGTCTGCTTGGTCGCCATTCCCGCAGGAATGCCAGTGAAGCTTGCTATGATATTCATTCACCCAACATTAACCCGAGATATAGCGTAAGTGAGAATGTACAGGACTTTGCAGGTTCTACAGGTTCTGTGCAGATTCCCTGAAAGTTCTTTGCCGAAGGATTCCCAGAAGGACTTGACTGACAAGGTGGCACGAAATCTAAGAGACAAAAATGTTGAATGGTCGCGGCTTGGATGACGACTACACCATAGCTAAGTGGCGGAGCGTCGCTGGCCTGGCCATAACCGAGGGCCCCTGGTTCAAGTACTGGTGGCGGCGGTCAATTTTTTCTTCAGACCTTCCCCCTTTGCGTTGTTCCCTCAAATCAATGGAAATCTTTTAAAAATCGCAACCGATTCCAAATTGACATCTTCACTCAGAAGTGTGTACTGTACCTGTGAGCCTGGCATGGAACGATTGACAAGTTGGGACTTCAAATGCCTGTTGCATAATTATGCACCCATACCTGTCCTTGTACATGAAGCAAGTAATGCAGTGCTGGTTAATCTGTGTAACCATCCTTTTATATGCAGCTCAGGGGAAAGTGCTCAACTGCTAGCAGGAGCGATATCCTTTTAAAATAATACTCAATCTACAAAATAAATGTTCCAGTGCGGTTTGACTCTGACCCTGTTTACAATAATTTTAGGTTATAGTCGTTGACTGTGACCTACATGAATTAGCGGTCTACTACTGTATTGCCCTCTCTATTATGTTTCTTTGAAGTTAAAAAACATTAAGATATTAGCCATGTCTCCCCCCCCCCCTCCTCCACCACCCTACACAGTGGGTCCATTGTTATTAGGCATCTGCCTGTTTTGGTTTCTCCACTATAAATAAAAGAATACTACTACATACTATTATTGTACCTTAGTAGAAGTACGGTGACACTCACGTGAAATGCATAGCTGGCGGTGATGGGTAGCATAAGACTGACGGTGCGTTGGTGTGCCGATGACCAGTTACTGTGCTCTCCCAGCAGTATGGGTAATGTGTGATTGGTCAAGGGGACAAGGAACACCCGCAGACTGCCATTGCACTGTCCACGACAATTAGCACTGTTGAGCAAAGATGAAAACACAGCGCTACAAGTTGTTGTTTGTTTATTTAGAGTCAAAGAACAAACAGGCAAATTTGCCTAATTACATGATATCGACTAAAGAAAAATAAACACAAGTCATTATTTCATCTACAGGAATATTATCACATCATCATAATAATTTTTCTGCACGCGACTTCTGATTCTTCTGCGTTTCACCTATAATAATTGTACTTGAATTTGGTTCTATGCTAGCAGCTAATGCCAAAAGCTTAGTTTTCTATTATTGGGATGACTACGGTGGGATTGAGTCGCCTAAACCCGAAAACATTGCCAACGTGAGCATGCAAAAGGTCGCATTATACTATTTTCAAAATACAGAATAGCAAGGGCGATCAGGGCTTGTTTGTCGCTACTTAAAAGTGTAATGCTTTCGCAATCATCAGGCAACATTCCTTTTTCACATAACTGTGATAGTGCAAGAAAGATTTGAGTCACGTAAACGTACTACCATTGTATCTCGGCTGATATGTTTAATTTGTAAATGGGTTGCTTGGGTCGGCATCTAGAGCTTGAAAACCTATTCACATCGGAGCAGATATTGTCATGGGGGAGGTCACAATATCCGTTATCTCTCAGCCTTCGTATCTTTCGTTTTACATGTATGTGTCATGTGCTTTTAAAAATGCATACGTATAGACTGTCACCGTTGCCTGTTGTTCTCTTTGCCTGAACCTCTGTGTGTAGCTGTGTGTATCACTGTGTGTATCTCTGAATGAGATACACACAGAGGTTCAGGCAAAGAGAACCACAGGCAACGGTGAAAGTCAACACGTATGCATTTTTAAAAGCACAGTGTACATGTAAAACGAAAGATATGAAGGCTGATAGGAAGAGATAACGGATATTGTGACCTACTCATGACAAAACCTGCTCCGATGTGAATAGGTGTTTTCCTCACTATGAACAGAGCTCCACCGGGAAACATGTGCAGAACAGCATAAAACAAGACGGGGGGAATGTAGGGACGACGCTCCGATCTTGTCTTACCGTATTTCTAGTCTACACGTCTCTGGATCACCGACAGGACCCTGCGCAGGCAGTGGAAACTCATCACTTGTGTTGGTCCGAATCAAGAGCTGGGTACCTAAACGGGAAAACGTTGTAAGAATCACGGACATGAACATTTTTGTGTGATGACTTTGAAGTATTAAGTACAATATTATAATGACCTATCCCTGGAAAAACAATGGAACATATCACAGCTCAACAATGCAAGTAATTGAATCATAACGTCACTGATAGTTGAGGGAGTTTGAGGGGTTGATAAGAGTCGCAGCTACCGGTAATCTATTACCTATTGTACTTCGTCCCTCGCAGTATTAGTAGCGTAGATATCAAGTTCGATGACGTTCCAATAGCGTTATTAGAAAACTAAGGAGATATTGGTGTTTGGATACTGGCAGATGTTGTTTTGTGAGAGATATTGGTACCTGATCGTATGTCATTGGCATCCGTTAGCATCCATCCCGTTGCAGCTCTTGCCTGAGACTGGAGATATCCACTTCGCTACCAGTGGGCAAAGTCCACCGTGCGATCTATCAGACATTCCTCTGCGCAGAACAAACACCATGGAAACAGCACCTAATGCAAGTGGTGGAAAGGTGAGGACGATTGAAACAGGGTCGCTGAATGCATTCTCTTGTGAATCATATTTATTGCGTGCACAGTAAAACCTGTGAATAACGATCATACCTTGGGGCCAGAGAAAGCGGTCTTTAGTGACAGGGGATCCTTAGTTAGAGGTTTGCACCGCACACCTGTATTATGAATGCGAGGCCGTCCGTGCCTGGCGAAGCGGTATGTAGTATCAGGTTGATCGCTAGTCACAGAGGTCTTTAGTTACAGGTTATGTATGTTCACACCTTCCAACCCGGAAAATATTTAAATTTTGATAAAAACGTTTCAAAGCCTCTCAATTATTTTGTAATACTTCTCTTTCCCTCAAACCAGTTAAATATAGGAATAATAAGAATAATTATAATAATTATACTTTCACACAAAACAAGCTCGGTGCAGCACTAATCACGGGAGGGGAACCCGACCCTCCACCATCGCCAACTCACGAAGCATGTAATGTATGTGGTTTTAACAGTGTGATCATCTTTTAATCTGGCTACGTAGTGCTATTCCATCGTAGAGACATAAGAGGAAAAGAATATGTAAAATTCAGTAGGTTAAGGGAGTTTTTAGAACACGGAGGCTCCACTGCAGCCAATTCATATTATGATCAGTCACCGCCACTATACAAAGGTCGTTGACGCTGCAAACAGCTGTCTGGAGGGTCATTGTCAATATCAATTATACACCGGAATTGTCCTCGCTGTGGTGATGGTGATGTGAGTGCAGAGTTTTGAATTTGCAGCGTCAACGACCTTTGTATAGTGGTGGTGACTAATCATAATAATAATGATGGTTAATAAGGGAGTTGTACAGAATAACAGAGATGTTGACATTGCGACTCTCCTTCTCTGTTCCATCCTGTTTAAAACTGTACTGTCTTCTCTGGCGCTGTGCTCCATAAAATGTAGATAAATTTCTTGAGTACGGTAATGACCGGTCTAGTGTTATGTAATTATAACGTGCACTACAAGGTGAATCTGGCGAGCCATGATGCCAAGACCTACAGGTCGGCTTAGCTTCACAGGTCCCACCCACTCTATCTGCTGGATTTGTACTCTTGGTGACGCAGCTTCAAATTGTCCACCATGCAAAGAGTGTTATTTGTCAACAATATATAATACCTTGCCATAGGTGTTAATGTGGGATCTTACAAAGTCAACACTTGCATGCATGTGCATGCTCAGGAAGGGCTCATAGTTCCGTTTCTACATGCTACCAAGAGTACATGAAAACCATGTACTCTCTTGATGCTACGCTAACCGTACCATAGTAAAGCCTATGCTGACCACCTGGGCTTACCATGCTGTTCCAGTATCTCCGAACATACCGGTACTCGCAAGACGTGCAACAACAGGAGAAGGGTAATAGCGGAAACCGTCTCAAAAGAGTACCTTGCTAGCTTTCTGGAAGCAAATTCTGCCATTTCCGCATGCGAGACCGGCTGCGACCGGATACGCCTGGCGATCTCACTTCCACTGCTCTGCGCAATCTCTGTATGCTACCTCACATCTTCATGGCCATGCCCAGTCGACGGTAAGGTAGCGAGCGAGATCAGCAACCTTATTGCCGCAGTGAAACGGGCCATCAGCAAAGAATCCTTGTGGTCGTGCTCATTTTTATGGCCAATCCCAACTGTCAATGTTCACGCTAGAGCGGACTCGACTACGGGCACACAGCTATCTACACGACCCTACATGTATGCTCCTATGGCCTACAGGCACTTCACGCCTGTGTCGTAAAGCCAACCACATGTAAACGTATATGTACGAGGCCGGGGAGTGAGATGGCAATTTCGCCTACGCGCTCTGCCTCCTGACACGGGAATACAAACATGTAGCTCAGTACATGTACCCGCTATGAGCACCACAAGAGGATGTGAAAAAGCCGTTTTTGTATCCTTGCCAGTGTGCATTCGGCATAGTCATGCATGGAAGCGCATTTCATTGTGGCGACATGATCGTGACTGACGTCTGTGAAGCCTCTTCTCTCCTCGTGCGAAAGTGACTGACGTGCGGTTTGAGACCACTGCTCAGGTTGCGGACCTGGGAGCGCTCTGCGGCTCTCGTGCGAGATGCATGTCGACGATGCCATCAGTGGCAGCGAATGATGCAACCTTAGCCTTGGTGCAACCTTAGCCTTGGTGCAAGATTATTTGCCCAGACCGACAGTTTGTGTCTCTAAGTACTAACGAAACCATGCAGACAAATATTCAGCGTGCTATGTATCTAGGAAGAGTATGTACGTGTATACCCAATGATGTAGACAGCAAGCTACGTGTATATTAACAATGTTATCTCCCAGGAAACCGTGTTGTGCATGTGTACTTACAGGGCTACATGGACATAATACATGACTGTACATGTAACTCATGTGTTGACTTTGATCAGCTACCAAGCATGTGTTGACCTTGTTGAGCCATCAAACTCAACAACCACTGTATTCAGCACTGACCACGGAAGCAACTGCAAATCCCAGGCTGGCTGAGTTCGGACCTTGTGCTTTCAACGTGCGCAGAAGCGCTGTGTTCTTTTCCCATGCCGAACATGCATGACAAGCGTAATTAGCCGGCGTTTCAAGGATTCCATTTGTTCTTCAAGTTTGGGTGCGGCGTTGGTGTGCTAGCAGAAAGTGAGCTCCCCTCTAGGCTCTAGCACTGGAAACTGTTCATGTACATCCACATTTGAACTGGGTGATTTAGTGCGCACGCATGGTTTTAAAAATTTGCTACGAGTACGCTCGTTCTACCACCACTATGCCTCTAGTCTACCCACCCACCCTCAATTCTAGCATGGCCTATTGCGAGGACCCATAATGTGCAAAATCATCTTACAAACTCACGTAAATGTACATGTATGTGATCGATAGATCACTCAAAGCGTATAGAACGGAATCAATTCAATCCCTACCAGTAGTTTAATTTTGTCACTAGTGCTTGGCGATTTTTACAATAGTTTGGAAGTGAATAACGTTTCCAGCGAATGTCGAACTCAATCATAACCTATCGCCATGTCCGCGTGCGCAGAGTTCTGCGCGTGTACTCCGCGCTATCCTATAATGAGGTCTAATTTCACTGGCCCGTTCTTTACGTGTAGTGTACATGACTGTATACTAGAAATCATGTAGCGAGCAAAGTCCAAACGACAGAGACCAACAGTCGATCCCGAAATCTGAGTTTCATGCTAAGAGTAAGACACTGGCCAGACCTGCATAATGCGCTCTGCCCTTGTTTGGACACAAGGCACTATACATATTTGCAGCAAGGACCCTCGACACTTTGTCCAGTGAATAGTGTGATTTTAGTTTGTCTTTGTGATCAGTATCACAGAAACACAATGCACGTCGGACCGATGGATTCGAAAGCATGTACATAATACATATACAATGTAGCATCGGTGCCATTCATATCAAAATTGTGGCAATTCAAATTCTTCTTCTCGTGCCAAGTGGGTGACGGCTCGGCATAAGTATTACCTTTCGTCCAGTTTGCTGAGTGGCAAGTGCATGTCGGTACGGTGAGCTTCAAGGGACGGCCGCGCAGGGGCGTGCCTTAACATTTGCCGATGGAAGGTTCCACCTGCCAAAGTAGTTATCGCCTCGCTTTTGTGATTGAAATGGTCACTTGTTATCACCTGGGAAGGATGAAGATGAAGGAGGGTGTGAGGACAAGGGGCGATGTGAAAAATAGCTTCTTATGTGTGAGATATCTAATTCTATTACTCAGCATCTTGAATGCTTTGTTGCATTGTATCCAATAATAATTATGCTTATGCTTATCACGTTCGAGTGAGGGTTACAAGGATGCGGTTTATGGGGTTATAGGGATGTTACACGCCCCTTGTTTGAGAGACCTACATTGTACATGTATTCCCCCTACCCTGACTCACTCGTGAGGTCTGAATTCGACACTGGGATATAATGGGCGAAGTATTGGCCCGCTTGATGTGTTGCTCAACACGTCGGGTGAGACGGCCGCGAATCCGGCTAATTTTACTCTTTTTTTTATCACTTTCGTCTTTATATTACTAATATCCTCAGTGTAGTATATCAGTATCGCCTTTGCGTAGCCTTAATCTTCGCGCCTAAGATGCGCCATTATGTTTCCCCTTTTTGGCGCCTAAGATGCGCCATTATGTTTCCCCTTTTTGGCGCCTAAGATGCGCCATTATGTTTCCTCTTTTTGGCGCCTAAGATGCGCCATTATGTTTCCCCCTTTTTGCTACAAAAGGGTGAAGTTTTCTATCTGTTAGCCATTCTACATTATCAACCTTCACTGACGAGATCCTGATGATCGAAACAGCTGCTGTCTGAAGGAGCAGAGTACCAACTGAAGTGTCGTTTTGCTGATGGTGTGCTGTGGCAACGTGTCGAGGTCGGCCGGAAAGCGCAGCGGTGTGGTGTGGTGGTTGATAAGAAACTTTCGTCTCCATAAAAGTAAGCCGTTTTCCACTGAACCAGCTTTATTTTCCATGGTACAACAATGAGAAAGCAAGACAATTAACCTGAAGAACAAGCACCATGCATGCAACCATACGCGCTTCCGCCACTGCGCATAAGCCTGTGTTCAACTCATTTGATCTGGCTTGTTCACCCAGCTTCAGACACAGTACTCACCAGGTACATGTAGGTGTGGGCACCAATTTACTACGACATGATACGGGGAATGTAGCAGGCGATGATATCGAGTTGCTCAATCACCGCCGGAGGCCGGGCGAGGGGGGGGGGGGGGGTAGAACTGGTCGGATGTGCGGCTCTGAAGGACTTCTGCATGTGCATTGCATACCACGAACGTGATTATATACGTGATTGCAATTGCATTGATGAACAGGGATACTTCTGCACAGCCCCCCAGTATAGCAGGCACCATGAACTTCGTATCTTTTGAATTAGAATAGAGAGCTTACTACTCTTCTGATGGTCGCAAACTCCAACGCAGCCACTGACACATTTAAGAAACTTCACTTCTCAACTCCAAACTCCAAAAACGGTCTCTTCACTGCGATTAAAATTAAAATTAAGATTTACATTACGCCAAATTTTCGGGCCTGGCCCATCATGAGGGTTGTTACGAAACCGTTTTTGGAGTTTGGAGTTGAGAAGTGAATTGTCCTAAAAGCTTACTACTCGCTTGCAAAGAAACACCAATACGGATGTCTTCAGGAGAGGCGGACTCACACCCCAATAACAGTATCAATATTCCTGTGTCTCACGAGAGAGACGGAGACGAAGTGAATACACCATTGGCCACACTAGCCGAAGAGAGTAAAAAAAAAAGAGAAAAGAAATACAGGAAACACAAGAAGGGTGTAACCCATATCCCCAAAATTCAAGTTCATAGAATTGTTCTGGCACTGCCATGCCACGAACATACTGCGTACTCGTATTCTAGGCAGAATAAAGTTCCACGTGATAACAGATGACGCGCCCGCCAAACTCTGTAGATATCATGAAAATGGATGAGCATTAGCTGCAGTTATTATGTACAATGTAGATCAGGCTCTCTAGGTATTTTAGCAGACGTCAGGATTGCGGTCCTAGTGATCGAGGAGGTGGTGCGTTGCAGTGCTGACACCTTGTTGCCTGCTAACTGTTATCAAATAATTGTGCACGGAATCGGCACAGCTTCCGCAAACAGCAACATTCTGCCTTGAGAGATTGCCGCAGCTGGTGAACACGTTGAAACCACGTGACCTCTCGGAATCGCGTTCTGCGGCGCGGGCCAGTATCAACATCTGCTCGTCTTCTGTCTCAGATGAAGCATGTCGGAACACACTCCATGCGTTTCATCCGTTATCTGCATCATGACGGAAAGGACAAACACAACCAATTTGAATTCACGTGTTTCAATGCTTCAGATATACAAGATCTGATTTCGCTTAGCTGTACTGTGCTCTAAGATTTCCTGCGATGAATATGCAAACGCTGGCAGTGCGTACCCAGTTACTGAGTGAGCACCAGGATCAGAATTGGTAAGAGCAATGCACACACACACACACACACACACACACACACACACACACACACACACACACACACACACACACACACACACACACACACACACACACACACACACATACACACACACACACACACACACACACACATACACACACACACACATACACACACACACACACACACACACATACACACACATACACACAGACACATACACACACACACTGACACACACACATACACACACACACACGCACACACACACACACACACACATACACACACACAGACACGGTGGAATACCTACCTGACTCCTCAAGGAATGGCTCTTGTAAGTCGACTGGCAAGAAGCAGCTCATCTCCTTCACTCGGAGCCTGTACAGAGGGTTGCCCTGGATGACGTTCAAGAACTTGACGAACGACTGTACGCCATTCGGTCGTATGTAGATGAGGTAGGTGTCGTTGTGAGCCAGCGATCCTCGCCTGCTCTCCAAGGACACGAGCGAGGCGACCATGAACAATGTGAGCATTCCATGGGCTTGCGAGTGGGCACGGAGGGTGCCAGACGGCAGGGACAGAATCCAGGCGTGGAAACGCATGTCGAAGCCTTCATGCTGCCACGGATCCACTAAGCGATAAGCACAGAAATAGCAATAGTTCGAGAAGTTTCAAATTGTTAGCTTAGTGATTGACAATTGCAGCAATTTGCACAGGATAAGTTGAAGCC